TCCTAATCACATTGAGTTGGCAGATCCCAGCTTTCATGTAAAAGGTGAAATCGACCTATTAATTGGGGCTCAATTGTTCTTTGAATTACTGGAACCAAACCAGGTGTATTTAAATGAAAACTTTCTCTTGCAAGAAACGAAACTCGGGTACGTTGTAGTTAATTCCGTTTCAAGCACCCCAAGTGTCGTAAATCGCGGCACTTGTCATTATATTCAACCCACCCTCGAACAGCTCGTCGGTAAATTTTGGGAACTAGATAATTTTCAGAATTCGATTGTTCAAACAGCTGACGAGGTTTTGTGTGAAAGGATTTTTATGGAGGGTCATAAACGTTTGCGAGACGGGAGGTACTCGGTCCCTTTACCATTTCAACAAAATGCGGATCTAGGTACGTCCAAGAGTAGGGCCATTAAAAGATTGAAATCTTTGGAATCCAAGTTCCGCAAGGACAGGGATTTCAAAGACGGTTATTCAAGGGTAATTTCTGACTACTTACAGCAAGGTCATGCCGAGCAGGTACCTGAAGACCAAATTGAAAACCCTCAAACTTTTTATTTACCCCATCACGGTGTCACAAAGGAAAGCAGTAATACGACCAAATTACGAGTTGTTTTTGACGCTTCCGCAAAGTCATCTAATCATAAGAGTTTAAACGACGTGTTACTGATTGGACCAAACATCCAATCGAATTTATATTCAATTTTGCTACGGTTTAGACAACATAAAATCGCGGTCACAGCAGACATTTCACAAATGTACAGACAGATTCTGGTACACCCGGAACATCACGATTACCAACGATTCTTATGGCGATTCGAAGAAAATGCACCAATTGAGACATACAGGCTTAAAACGGTCACTTTCGGTGTTGCGCCAGCGCCATTTTTAGCTATCAGAACGTTGCATCAACTATCACTTGATGAAAAACATAATTTTCCGAATGCATACGATCAAATTAGAAATAACATGTACGTGGATGATCTAATCACCGGCGCTAATACCGTTGAGGAGGTGTTGAACATAAAAACAGAAATATCACAGTGCTTGCAAAAGGGCGGATTTCAACTTCGAAAGTGGGCTTCGAATAATCCATCATTATTGCCAAATACGTCTGCTCACTCCGCGGAAATTAATTTAGATAAGGAGGGCCTATCTAAGACACTCGGAGTTATTTGGAACTGCATTTCTGATCACATTAAATATAGTATCAATTTAACAAGCATTAAGACAGCAGCATCAAAAAGGAGTGTATTATCAACAATTGCGCAACTGTTTGATCCCTTAGGCTTAGTTGCCCCAGTTGTGGTTACTGCCAAAATTATTCTTCAGCAACTGTGGACGTTGAAGTTAGACTGGGACGATAGGTTACCGGCCAATTTAGAAGAGCGGTGGAATAGTTTTTTAGATTCACTGGCTGACTTAAATAAAATAATAATTCCTCGCTGCGTGATACCGGTTGAAGACGCCGCTCACATACAATTACACGGGTTTTGCGACGCCTCCCAATTAGCTTACGGGGCTTGTATTTATATTAGGTCCTACAACGAACGTGGTGAAATTCACGTTCAGTTACTTACGGCTAAATCTCGAATAGCTCCATTGAAAACTCAGACACTACCCAGATTGGAATTATGTGGTGCAGTTTTGTTAGCAGAGTTATCAGAGCAAGTTAAGCACAGTCTAAGTTGTCAGATTCAAGGTGAATTTTACTACACCGACTCAACTATTGTTTTAAGCTGGCTAGCGGCTACACCAAATACTTGGACAACATTTGTTGCCAACCGTGTTTCTAGAATTCAATCGCTGACTAAGATTGAAACCTGGAAACACGTATCGTCAATTTCCAATCCTGCGGATGTTATCTCTCGCGGTTGCAGTCCCGAGCAATTAATGAAAAACTCATTATGGTTAAGTGGTCCAACATTTTTGTGGCAACCTACTACTAACCACTCAAGTAGCTTAAAAAATTATGTAAATCCGTCAGAAACGGAAGAACGACGTAAGGTCGTTTGCACAAAGGTCACAAAATCTGAGTCCAAATGCGATTTACTATCACGGTATTCTTCGTTCTCCAAATTAGTTAATGTTATTGCTTGGTGCTTACGATTTCATAATAACGTCAAATCTAGTCAAAAACTAACAGGATCGTTGTCTGCCTACGAACTGCGAAACAGTCGAATGATTATTATTCGTTTAGTTCAGCGGGAATCATTCTTCAATGAATTTGATAACCTCAGCAATTATAAATCATTACCCAAGTCAAGTCCTTTGATCAAACTTAATCCATTTCTAGACGAAAACGCACTTATCCGCGTAGGTGGAAGATTGGTGAATGCAAACATTTTTTATGATAAAAAATTTCCCATTGTCCTTCCGAAGGATCATTACATAACACACTTGATTATAGAATGCGAGCATTTACGACAACTACACGCGGGTCCCCAAGCCACTTTAACAGCTGTCAGGCAAACATATTGGCCCTTAGGCGGTCGTAGTACCATCAGAAAGGTTTTACATAAATGCGCTCGTTGTCGACGAGCAAATCCTATTTTCTATCAAGAGATCATGGCCAATCTACCTGAAGCTAGGGTTAATCTTGTGCGTCCCTTTCTTACCTGCGGTGTTGATTATGCTGGGCCCATGTTAATTAGAGAGGGAAGGGGTCGCGGAAAGAGGTCCATTAAAGCGTACGTTTGTCTGTTTATTTGCCTATCTACCAAAGCGATTCACCTGGAATTGGTCACTGATTGCACTTCGTCAGCGTTCATAGGGGCCTTCAAGAGGTTTATATCTCGCAGAGGTAAACCGTCGACCATTTATTCAGATAACGCAACAACGTTTAAGGGTAGCAACCGGGAATTACGTTTCATCCATCAGGACATCATAAAATCAGAGTCTTTTCGAAAATTTATCGGAGATTGTGCGGGGGACAATATTGAATGGCGTTTCATACCTCCTCGATCGCCACATGTCGGTGGCATTTGGGAGGCTGGTATCAAGTCTATGAAATTTCACCTGAAGAGAGTTGTCGGTCAATCATTGTTCACCTATGAAGAGATGTACACTTATCTCACGTTGATAGAGGCTTGCCTGAATTCCCGTCCTATTACCCCATTATCCTCGAGTCCTGACGATTTAACGGCCATAACACCAGGTCATTTTTTAATCGGATCTGCTTTAACAGCTCCAGCTGAACATGACCTGAGTACCGTCAACATTCATCGTCTGGATCAGTGGCAAAAGATCCAGCAACTGCGCCATCATTTTTGGAAGAGGTGGTCCCGAGAGTACCTCCTGGAGTTACAGCAGCGTTCCAAATGGGCTACGTCAGCGCGGCCAGCTGCCGTGGGTGACATCGTTATCATCCACGAGGACCATGTACCTCCGCTATGTTGGACTTTAGGTCGCATCGAAATCACGCATCCAGGGCGTGATGGCAGGGTGCGAACGGTGTCAGTGCGAACCAAAAACGGTATAATTCAACGATCAGTGCATAAACTATGCCCTTTGCTAAGTTGAACCAATCATTATTGTAAATATATTATATCATTATTGTAAATATATTATATCATAGGATCTTAAGCATGTATTGTGTATATCTTAAGTCATTTATGTAACTTTATTGTTCTTTTTTTTTTAATTATATTGTACTTTGAAGTTAACGCTTCAACGGGGGGACTATGTTCAGTCTACCTGAACAAGGGTTTGGGCGTATACAAGTCGTCCACCCTACCCCACCCGTATTAGGGTACTTCGACCGAATTTTGTGGCGATTCACGTCTAACCCGTCGACGAGGCCGCCTCGACATCGGTACGCCTCCGAAGCCGGCATTTCATATTTGTGCGAAGTTAAATAAATTATTGTATAAGCTCCGATCGAGTTTTGATTTCGCGCTACAGTATCCAACTTAAGGCTGTACAAGTGAGAGCAAAAATACCAAATAAAACTTATAAAGTATAAGATTTGGACCACTGGTTATAACCAGATCAATTAGAGAGGGTGTGACCAAAAAAAAAAAAAAAAACGCAAGCGGAAGCAGTCAAAAATTGTACAAATTATGAAATATAAGGTTCTACAAGAAATTCTGCATTTTCGTTTCGGGAGACATCAGACAATCAATACAAGAGAAAAAATGTTTGGTTAACTAACTTCGGCAACAATTTTTATTAGAGATGTGTTCAACCTACGTGGTTTCTTTACAATTCCCTAGAACAAAAAACTGGAGGCTGATGGCAAAACACTGAAAACAGATCCTTATTTAGCATCTTAAAATAGAACAAAACACCTTTCAAGAAAAAATCGAACCGATTTCAATACGAGTTTTTTAATTGAAAGCTTGCTCTTAGCCATTTGAAGATCATCAGCATATAAAAACACAGTGGTGCCTGGATTCAGCTCAGCGGGCGGGAAGGTGCGATAGCACGTCGTTCGTCGCGGCGACGAAGGCGGGGATAGCGCGTCGACCGTCGCAGTGAATCATGATAGTTTCAGGCTTTTAAGGGTTCATTATTTTTGTTCGGGGCTTTTAGATATTAACACTTGTTCTCTATATTTTACTTGAGTGTTAGAAAATGTCGAAAGATAAGAATTTGATGGATTTAGTTTATTTGCGTGAAATTTATTTGTTTTATTTAAGACTGTGCAAACGTAAATACTTGTCGTGTCTAATTTTTTTCCGAATTATTCTTTAATTAAATTTAGTCAGATGATTCCAGAATTTTCCCACTGGTATCAAATTATTTAATAATACCCAGTTCACATTTTCTGAAGGACAATAATAAACAATTAGGTATAAAAAAGTAGTTGCTTCTTTGAATTGAATACATGCTCCTGTACACCACCAAAAATTTAATGTGTACATTCATTACACTTAAAATACATGTAGTATAAAAAAATATCCTTATTTTTCCGCTATTTCTCCCCTAATTTCAAGACTGAAAAGACTACTCTCCCAAGTAGTGAAACAAACACTATATTTATACATGTTGATATACTCACGGAATGTCTTTCCCGACCTTCGGTATTTTTGCAACCGCAGCATCAGCTTCTACAGCCGAAGAAATTTCTACCACTTCCACAGTGGCGCTACTTTCGGCACGTCCAACTTCATTAGCTGCAACGCAAGTATAAACACCCGCATCTCTTTTGTTCGCAGATGTAACAGTAAGCTCCACTCTGCCATCGTAAGATAAAGTCATTATAGACTTTCTTGAAGGTCTTAAACGAACCTGCATGACAACATCGAGTTAATTTAAACACTGTTTTAAATTAACTCATTAATTACCCCATTCCTGTACCAGCTCACGCCAACTGCTGGGTAAGCCTGCACTCTGCCGACTAAACGAAGTTCTTTGCCTTCCTTTATTTCAACGATTGATGGTTCCAGATCATTTTGGAACTGCGGGGAAATGTAGGCGCGGATGCCTTTGTCAACCACCAGGTTGCAGCGACAAGAAACGGATCCATGATCGTTGTGAGCTACCATGCAGTAAACACCCGAATCTTCGAGAGTCGTTTTGTTGATTTCTAGTGTTTGGAAGTTTTCTTCAGACGAGAAAGTAAAACGAGCTGAAATTATCAGTAGTTAAAATGTATCTCAGGGTTCAGTTATTATAAAAAGTTACAATTTTCTTTTATTTGAGTATCATCTTTGTACCACTTGATAGATGGTTCTGGACAGCCTGCGATCTGACATGTTAGTCGGACTGGGTACGAAACTTGCACTCTTCTATCCCTGAGCCTCATAGTAAACTGTGGCGGTAACTCAGTAACTTTATCAAAATCTCGTATGCCCCTGAAGATTTCATGATTTAATAAATACGTTTCCAAATTTTAGCTAGTACTTACAGTTTCAAATTTTTATCCGCAGCTAGAATTTTCGCATCGCTGACAATAAAAACTCTTGCAAATGTTGAAACCCTACCAGCTTTATTCGTAGCTTCGCATATGAATCGACCTTCATCATTGTCATTAATTTTCGAAATCGATAGAGTACACACTCCGCTCTTATAATTAATGTGGTACCTGTCATCATCCTCGGGGAAGATTTCGCTGGCGTCTTTAAACCAGCGAATGATCAACGTCGGATCTTGTCTTACTTCGCAGTCTAGAGAGATATCGGATCCTAACAAAACCTTCAACTGGCCTGGTAAAATTCTAACAAATTCTGGTAACTCTGTTGATCTTCCGACAGTGATGGGACCGCTTTGGACACTTTCTCCCCATCCATATCTGTTCCTGGGTGTGATTCTGAATTGGTATTCGCCACCAGGTTTCAGGTTGAAGGCGTCGAAACTGTTGAGCGGCGAAACACCAAGCTCTACCCATCTGGCACCTTCTCCTCCTCGTAACCAAGCGTCTACTTTGTATGCTATTACGGGGGCTGCTCCACGATGTTCTGGTTTGCCCCATGAAAGAGATATCCAGTTGCGACCTGTATCGACTACCACGGGTTCACCAGGGATTGGACCAGGAACATCTAAAAATTGATAAGTCATACCTAAGTGTCCTGAAAAGTGACTGCACCGGCATATTTTTAATTTAATTGTCACATTTATATTCAAAAATTTGTAAATTAGAGGTTCTGACCTAAAAAAAAAAGAAATTGTTGCTTTGTTAATAATTGTTTGAGTTGGATCTGATCACTTTCTCGAATTGGAAAAAGTCGAGGTAAAAAGTGATATTTGATATGTTTTATCTGATTTTAAACTCAGCGATCGAAGTTTACATAAATGTTTCGGCCTCTTTCGCCGTTTAACAAAACAAATGATTTATAACCATTATAATTTATGCAACACGAAATGCCAAGTTTTGATATTTTAATTTGCGAGTTGATGACCTTATTTTGGCCGCTGGGAAAAAATAAATGCGATATCAAAATAAATAATGGTCTAGGTCAAGAAATAGGTAATATTATAAATTAATCTTAAGTATGTAGTGAAAGATATATTGCTGTTTGGGCAGTTTCTGATATTTTGAAATACTTACAACAAATATCACGACTTAGATTTCAATTTTAGATTTATTATAATTGCTGACAACTGACGTATAGCAGTTGTGTGAAAGGAATCAGCTGGACGCCGGCAGTTTTCATTGCTAGTTAATAATAATAATTGTTATAAATGTATTTAATACGATTTCACAACACTGTTCTTATTTAATAATAAAAGGTAAATAACAATGGGTAATTCATAACATCACAACATGAAAACAACCAAAATTTTAAAAAATATTCCATTAAAATATAGTATGTTTGAAAATATTTGATATGTTGCGGTAATTTGAATAAAACCAAAACAACCATTTTTGCATGCAATTTTTCCGTATTGTACCTTTTTTTCCTAGATATTTGTATTGCGTCGACATTCAGGTTTAAAAGGGTGTTTCACCTAGGACTTCCCCCATTCTAACTGTTTTATTAATGAAAAAAATCTCCTGAAGTTCGCTACAGTTATATGTAATTACTGAACAAAAACTGTATCATATACAAAAAGTAAAAAAGTATACCTACTTCTATTCCTAGTAGGAGTAGGTACTTTAATAAGCTTTTTGAAACCTCAAAAATTTAAAAACGTTAAGCAGGTTTATTTTTTGACAAATATTCGGTCCGAAATTTTTCACAAACGTGAAAAACAATCGAAAAAAACTTTCATTTTGTGCATCCCTTACATTAATAAACCGTAGCTGAAAGACTAATGACAGATGTCTTTTGAACTAGTAAATAAGAAAATCTCTACAAAATTTTTGGTTATTAATATTATTATTTGAAGTTTTGTGCAAGGAAGATGATATAAAATATATGTATCTACACCTACAGAGCGTGCGGTCCTCGATATTTGATCAATCTATTAAAGATACAACAAAAGTCAAAGATCAAAGTTGTACACTCCTTTGAGGACTATATTTAAAAATCATTTTTAAATGTACAGAGTGTTCTGTTTTTAAGACGTAACATACAGAACGTAGTTTTTTAAATGAAATATCCTGTATGTATATTTTTACATATTCTCATTAGTCGTTTCCTAGGCTTTATATTTTTGAAATTCTGATGCGACGTTTCCGCGTTATGCAGATTTTCTTGAAATTTTATTGCCAATGGAAAGGTTAAAAAAACGTAATAGGGTTATATTTACAACTGTGTTACAATATTTTGTGGAGCGATACACAAAGGTACACACTTTGTTGATGTTGTGGTACCAATTAAATCAAATTTTAGTATACAGGGTATTTTTTATCCTAAAGATGTTGACGTGTCTTTTAAAAAAATAAAAAAAAAACAGTAATTACCAACTTTAAATACAGAAAATGCTTCACAAAAAAGAAAGGGAACAAACAATTGAACAATATACAGTAATAAAATACAAGGTGTTCTATTTGAAAACACTGAAATATCGATATTTGAAAATTGTAATGTACAATATACGATAACAAAGCGAGCACGCTTATTTATCTCACCACAATATTATTGTAACATAAATTTTAAAAATAACCATTATAACCTTATTGTGATTTTTTGTGAGCACTTTCATTACTAAAAAAATAAAAAAAACTGTGATTACAGTTAAAACATAAAAAGAAGTCAATTAAAATATGTAAAAATATATAGGCTGTTTCATTTAAAAAACTTAGTCGTATGTTGCGTCTTAAAAACAGGACACTTCCTATAATTATAGAGTATACTACCCAAAGAACCGTACAACTTTCATCTTTGAATTTTTTTCTATTTCTAGTAATTAATACAATATCGAGGAACACTCTATATATTAAATCCATAAGTACTGCAAACAAGCTATTTTTGTATACTAATAAAATTTTTTAACCTGAAAGTTAAAGAAACACAGTCCATTGTCCGTAAAAGTCGACAAACAGTGAACAGAGGCGGATTTGTTTCATTATACAACAAAGTATAAATAAGATGTCTGTTTCATTTTGATTAAGCGTTTTCCAGATTTCAGAATTTTATGAATGTCTGACTGAAACATCATTCATTGATAAGATTGTATAAAATGTAAACATATATTAGAAATCTCTGTAAGTACATCATAACTTTATTTATTTTATAAGTTTTTACCTACCGAGCATAAGCTAAAAGAAGTATTGTAATAGTGTTCATCCGACGGATAGCTACTCTCATGTTTTCTGGACGTTTTGTCACCCCGAAAATACGAAAAAATATCCAGGATGATCAAAAAATGACGGAAAAGCTATATGATACGTTGTTAAGAAGGCTCTGAACAACTCGAAAAAATAGTTAAAGAAGTTCCTGAACCAAATTCTTGAAAAAAATTAACTTCAAATTCGAATAATTAATTTGGCAATTCCAATATTTTAATGTCGATTTAACTGCAGTCCAAAATTCCCATAAAAATTGTCAAAAATGACATCTATCAACAGTAAAAAATTGACGTTGTGGATCGTATTCTAGCAAATTATTATTAAATTAATAATAACAAATTTTTTAACTGTCTATGAGGTATGCAATTCATTAAAACAAATCAGAACTAGGAAATAAATCTTGCAGGGATTTTTTAACAATTTTTTTCAAGTTTTTCAGATCCTTGTTAACAACATACCATCGAGCTTTTCCGTCATTTGTGGAACACCCGGTTTTAGACGGATATTCCCCGAAACTATCGGACCGATTGTTGTCAAATTTTATATGCAGGATAGAAATATCGTGTAGATGGTAATGCACTAACTAAATTTTGTTTAATCATTCCTACCAATCATTTGATGACTTGCTTTCAATGTTTTGTACATTAAACATTATTTTAATTTTATAAAAAAAACTGTAGTCTACACTTGTGGTTTATGAATCCGCCTTGAGTTTTAATTGCAATTACTTTATTAAAATATTTGTTCGATAGATGTTTGATCCAGCTGCTATCTTACACATGTGCGAAACAAAATTAAAAAAATATCGCCAAAATCATTCCTAGTTTTATTGTTAAACTTTTGGACTGTAAATTGTATAGGTTTTTCATTCTCGACTAATCGATCATATTACTTCATATCAGGCAAATTACAACTATTATTACAGAACTATGAACTATACAGAAATAAAAGTATATGTGTTTTAAACGAAACTATTCTGCTTTGCCCCCCTCGGAGTACCTCAAAGCGGATTCATAAACTGTAGATACTGGAGTATGTTCATTTATAAAATTGCAATAGCATTTACCATCAAATAATTTTGAGATGACGTCGTCAAATTGTTCGTGAGAATCATCCGAGAAATTTTGGTTACCGTTTTAGCATATACATGATCTTCCTAAAGTGCTAACAAAATTTGACAATAATCGGTCCAGTAATTTTTCATTTTCTAGGGGTCACAAAACCTGGAGAAAACATGAAAATGACCATTTTTACCGAAATGATCCTATTACAGAATTACAGCTTACGCCGGGAAGTAGTATGATTGAAACGATACTTTTTTGTTTGTTCCACCGTGTTCATTTTAGAAGGATTGTCGAAAAAAAAAATTTTGAAATCTCAAAGAAATCATTCAGTCCTCAAATGGATCCTAGCTGGTTAGTTAAAATGGCAAAAAGTGTTAACCCTATTTATAAAATAAGACTTTTTTTTATTCTTTCGAAAAGAAAATTCGTATTTTCCGTGTACATTTTTATCATAATAGTTTATTTTCTATTTGAAGGAATCGATTCGTAAATGTGAAATATTCTGCCAATCTAATTAGTTTTATTATGATATTTTTGTGGTACAGGGTCTCAATAAATGTTCACAAGCCACGAGACGAAGTCGGTGTGAATTTCATTATGCCTAATACAGTTTATGACTGTAAAGTGTTTCTAAAGATATTTGGAAACAGAGTTAAATACTTTTATTGTACTCTCAGCAAAATACAAATGCCCTTATTAAATGCCAGAATTCTGCACTTCATTGCATGCGGGCCGGATTGTACTCGGGTACTTTTATGAAGATTAGGCTCAATAGCAGGCAGTTGAAGATTAACCAGGGACTGTGTTTCCAAATATCTTTAGAAATACTGTACAATATCACATATGTGTCATAATTTTCGGAAACAGACTTTAAATTAATTTAAAATTTGTAGTTTGACTTAAGTAATCCAAATTTGATTAACTCAGCCAAAACAGTACTAGTGTGCCACCATGAAACACCTAAACCAGTTTGTCACAAAATAAATGAAACGTTAAATTCCAAAAGAGTTCTGTAGACACAATTGTGTAGCAACAATTCACACTGTAAAATTTTATCATCCATCATTTTAAAGGTGACTTCTGATTTTTATTTACTAGGATATACATTACTTCATATGTGGTTTTACGAATAGAGTTACCAGCAGGAAAAAAGCCAGAGTCCATTAAAGTAAGATTTCAATTACTTTCATTGTCATTGTTTAAAATTTGGAAGAAGTAAGAAACAAGAAACCACTTGTAGTTTAATTTTGTCACTCGCTCAAAGTTACGAACTTGACAATGACATTCCTGAATCTAAAATGAACTGAATCCAACTGTTACAGCCACGAAAACTATGTAACAATTCTACATCATTATAGTAGTGAAAAAGTGTAGGAAAGTCTAAATCGTTCGTCAGGCGATTCGAGAATCTCATTGCTTTTAATCTCGATAGATTTAGAGCAAGAACGCGTGAAATAAACATAAAACGCGAATTAAATATTAAACTTGTTTGCTATATCAGTCAACTTCGGGTGCAATAATTTTCTCTACTTAATTAAATATGTGTTTTATATTAATAAATGTGACAACTATTAAAACTTTACCAATATAATATATTTTTTATTAAAACTTTGTGGGTGTGTTCATGTGTTTAATGTAATCCTTATGTGGCCTAAAAACACACTCATTATCTGTCACAGTGAATTAGTAATTTAACATACTGCCAGTGATTAATCGATTATTTGCTATGATAATTGGAGAAAGAACAACAACTCAATGACATTTATTTGTGTTTTCATATTTAGAAGGAGTGCAATTTTAAACATTATGTAACAGTATGAATTTCAGCAACGGTTATTTTCGATCCAACTTGTTTATTTACGTTAGCTGCAATATTTTAATTCCGCGCCGAAATAAAAAAAAATCAAAGCAATAAGCCAAGCATACCTTGATATTCGACTAGGTAACTGAGGAAATCCGATATCAAACAATCTCTTCCGCACCATTTTTTTCTCAAAGCGGTCAATGAGAGTTCTTCGGTCGAAGGTGAATCATCGCTACTCCAATCAATAATCCGCATTTTGGCAGTCAATTCATTCAAGCATCGCAACTCAAGATCTAAATACTCTAATTTAACGCATGCAGTGCTTATGCTATCTACTTTAGGCAACAGGCCATTAGTAAATCTAAAATTAGCTTGTGGGCGGCAAAATTTTTGGCGTTTGCGTTCAATTCGCACGTGGGAAACGGGAAAAGCTCGGGTGAAATGTGGCGGATTACTCACCGGTCAAGTATTTTCTTTCCTGGAAGCTTGGAATATCGGTCAGGATTGTTTGTGGTGAATCTTTTGTAGGGGTCACAGATCGTGCCCTATGTCGCAGACGGACTGTAAAGAAGGCTCTGTCGGTGCCAAAACGGTTCCTGGCCAAAATGCAGTAGGTGCCCACGTCGTCCTGGGTGGCCCTTTTTAGGGTCAGTCTGTTGTAGTCGTCGGATATTTCTCTACACGTTCTGAAGGTGTTCGTTATATCGCGAAGGCCCTTCATCCAAATTACTGGAAAGAGATAAATGTACAGTTTAAAATAAACTTCAGGCTTCTCCTTGGACTAAAATTTGTTTTGTTTTTTGTAATGAAATAACTGAAGGTTTTTGAGGTCGGAACAAATGTGTTGTAAACATAAAACCCATTTTAATGTAATATGTATAAAAGAACGTCAAATTTTATTGTTGTTTTTATTTTAGTATAAATAGCTGTGGGTGGGTGCAAGCTAGAGTCAAAAATCAAACAAAACTATTAGATAATATTTTAGGGCGATGAAATTTAGAAGACAATTGTCTACCTTTTTGTATTTTACTATTTTAATATCTGAATTTTATTTCATTCATCGTTGTAGCGCATTGCTTGAAATAACCGCCGGGTCATAAAATAAGATTTATCTGACAGGATCTACACAGACTTTCAGATTTGTCGACAATGGGCGGCGAGTGTGACAGACAAATGAGAATTTTATTATTTTTTTACTGACCTGGCACATAAGCAGTGTCTAGTCATTCAGATTTACATCACAATTTGTAAGGAGATCCACCAGAACAAGAGTGTGTACAAATTGATCATGTTTTATCAACTATTTTTCAGTAAGAAATCTTTTCTTAGAAATCGAAAAATTACCTCCACAATTCCAAATTTCAATTTGATAACTCCAATTTCCAATTTCACAATTCTAAATTTTAACTTTATAACTTGAGATTCCAATTTCACCAAATTGATATTTCAATGTAGATTTTACAAGTTGAATTTTACAATCTGTAACCAGGAATTTTGATTTTAAAACTGAAGCAATATTTGTGTGAAATAAAAATGGGAATTAAATTTTTTCACAATGTAAACTGATTTGTCATTTATTTGTGAAGTAGGCACTTATTAGGTCAACAAGTGCCCTTTTAGATAAACTAACATCCTATTTCTTCGCAAAACTAACATTTCAGACGCCCGTTGAATTTTCTAACCTAAAATCTTAAAAGCCGTTTTGAGACTGAAAAAAATGCTAAAAATGACAGATTTTCTTTTGACACATCCCATTTTATTGAACACAGGGGTATGTATTTTTTCCAATTTTACATTTAGAAATTCGAACGTTACTATTAACAATTCTGTCTTTAGAAATTGAAATTCCAACCTTACTGTAATTTCAACGAGAAACTCAAAATTATTTTTTTCTAGCGTCATAAATTCAAATTTCAACTTTGTATGAAACTGGAAATTTCCAATTCGTGGGCCAAAATGTAATTTGACATGCAAGGCATTCAATTCAAACATATCTATCGAAACCATTTCAAAATTACTATTTTGGAGAGGTATAAATCTGACAGAGAGAATACACAAAAGAAAGTTTATTAAGGAGAACTTGGACCTACCACTTCAGCACCGGACATGAATGATATTTTGTTTTTAAATTGGAACTGTTCCCTTACTTCATTTTTGGTACTGACTTTTTAAATTTGAATTTGCTTAGTAATTTTTTGCTTCCGAAGTAAGGGAAGGAATTATTGGAATAGGGTTTATCGGACGAATGGTTACTTTCATGTTTCAGGACCCCTAGAGTATGAAACAATAGTTCTTTCATTTCCGTCTATCTGTCTGTCGTCTGTTTGTGTCGATTTTTATTTGACAGCTTATCTCTGAAATTACTGAACCGATTGTTATCAAGTTTTACAACTACTTTAGAAATATAGATGGTAAGAAAACGCTAACCAAAATGTGTGTAATCAAACCAATCCACAAAATTTTGCATAGTAAATTTTATTTAAATTTTATAAAATAACACACTCTTGCCCTTGCAGTTTATGAATCCGTCTTGATTTTTTACGGTAGTCATCCAGATTTTTGTAAAGAAAACCAAAACTTTATAACAATATTTTACAATTATTAAGTTTAACTCTGAAACCGAATGCTCTGAAATCTTTGAATGGTTTTAAAGTTATCATAAGCATGGTAAATCGTAAAATGTGCAAAATATTATTTTTTTACTCTGTCGCTGCTGTTATGTATTATATATATTTATATATGTATTATTTATTGATCAAATCTCAAGAACGGCACAACCCAGTGTCTTATTAACTAGTATTACACTGCACCTGCCCGAATTAGCATACGTGTCCTTGCTGAAATGATGTTGATTGGAACATTTTCAAATGGGAAAATTCGCTAATACAGGCATAGCCTTGCCCTATATCAATGAATTCATATTTTTGGAATAACTGTTAATCCGTTTGTTACCGTGGCTTGATGCCAAGGATACTCCAGACCAAATATAAACAAGTGTGTTTTTGTAACATAATATATTGGAATCATAGGCAGTGGCGAGATACGAGTAATTCAAATCTCATACATTAATGATTTAAGAAAAACAAACTCTACAAGAAACTCTAAAAAATATAAGTATATAAGATTTGATTTAGTTTCTTACACTGTTACTTGTATTACTTATATATGAATATTTGTTTCAATGAATACAGGGTGTCTCTTGTATTTGATACAGCTCCTGGAATTTTTTTATTTTTAAAGATAAACCTGTAGTTCCTTGAGCAAATTTGTCAATCATTTTAAAAGATCTGTGTGAACCGTAAATGAGGTCAATTTTATTTTTTTATGGAACAGTAGGTATATTTTTTATAAATAGAAAGATTGATTTTTTGGAAAAAATCAAAAGCAACCAATATTCTAAAATCATACTTAAAAAATTATTCAATAAAATAGACGAAAAATTCATATTTACTGATGACAATAATATCACAAATAAAAGTCCGCAAAACGATTTTTATTTTTAATTTTTCAAAGAAGCCGGATTTGTTGGACTGTATTTCAGGGCTGAGGGAATTCTTGTTGAAATAACTTTCAACCAATTTTTTAAAATTTCTTCTACAGGTTGACTCAAAAACTAAAGAATTAATTTATTATTTTATTCATCAAATTATGAACGGTTCACTCCATTTTCCAGAAAATTTGAGAATATAGTTAGTACTGTTATTATTAGTATTACAATGCATCTATACAAATTGATAAACTTGTCCTTACTAAAATGTTGATGATGTCATTACAAAATTTTGTTATGGAAAAACTCACTTTACCTTTACTTTAATGCTCCACACATATCATTATTTTAACTTAACGGCGGTTATCATATAAAAAAATAAAATTTCCAAAATTACATTTTTCTAAGATGCCATATTGATGCTTCAAGGGCGAGGGAAATTCTGTTTATATAACCTTGACCAATTTTTATGTAATCTGTTGTAAATTTCATACTATATTATCAAAATAATAATCTTTAAAACTAATAAAAATTGGTCGAAGGTTATTTCGACAGAACTCTCCGCACCCTTGAAGTACCTACAATAAAAAACATCCAGCTTTTCCCAAAAAATTGTAAAATTTGATTTTGTGAATTTTATTTCTTTTTATGAGAACCCGTAGAAGTTAAAATAAAGATATGTATGTAATGTTAAAGTAAATGTAAAGAAGCGTGCTACGGGTATATTTCAAATAAGTTTTTACTTTATAAGCTTTCGTGATGACGTCATCAACAATTTTGCAAAAATACGTAAATCAATTTGGGTGGGTAATCGTACTAATAATAACAGTATTGTATTCCCAAATTTTAAGGAAAATGGAGTGACCCGTTCCGAGTTTAATCAATAAAATAAATTGACTTATTCATTAATTTTTTTGAGTCACCCTGTATAAACAATTCTAAAAACTATTAATGGAATGATAAATCACAAGTAAACTCATCATATTTTATATACTTTAGATAGGAATTATTTGACAAAATTTTGAGATGACGACGTCAATTTTTTGGGAGGGAATAAACGAATAAATTTTGAATAACGATTTACTATAATTAAGATAACCTTACGTTTACAAGATTTCAGAGCATTCGGTTTTGTAATTTCAAAGTTAAATTGCAAAATGTTGTTAAACAATTTTAATTTTTTTTCCAAAAACCAAGATGTCTCATACAGCACAAGTGCAAGAGTATCTTATTTTATAAAATTTTAAAAATTATATTAATGTAAATTTTGGAAATGACGTCACCCCATTGATGGTGGGGATGATTTTGGTGAGCGTTTCACCATCTAAATCATATTTCTAAAATACGTACAAAATTTGACAACAATCGATCCAGCAGTTTCGGAATATTATCTGTTTAATAAAAATCCGGATAGATGACAGACAGACAGACAGATGGTAATATATAGTCCTTCGTACTCTAGGAGTCATGAAAGGTCGAGAAAACATAAAAGTAAAGAGTAGGCCGACGGACTCGATGACAATACTTCGTTCGCTTACGTTCGGGAAGTAAAAAACTGGAATTTAGCTAATAATAATAATAATAGTCTGTGTACAGTATATTAAAAATTAAGTTGAAGGTTAGTTAAAATAATTGCCTTTTATCTTAAAAAAAAATATAAACGGTCTTTTTGAAGTTTGATAAGATAGTAAAATAATTAGGAAATACATTGTTTAAAATTTGTTTTTATCATTTTATCCCCTCTAGAAAGCTGATGACATCTCAAAAAAATACATATAATGACTTAACGAATCAATCAAATTAAATACGTTACCGAATATCTATCTCAGAACCCGCTGATTTAATTTTGTATCATCGCCAAAAGTTCAAGAGGTCGATGTGGTATTTGTTATCTTAAATAGAGGGAAGTTATTTGTAAATAAATTAAATTTAAACATTGTCACTAGTGGCTAATTTCATGTTTTTTCCACGCGTCACATCTTATAGAATACGGGAAAATCTCCGTTCCATGTCTGTTGTACGTGTATTTATTGACGATTTTATCGAACAGATCATTTCTAGAACTACTGAACCGATTACTTTGAAATAGCTTGTATGTAATTATCTAAAGACGGTTAAGTACTAAGCAAAACCTTTATACAAAAATACTTACCCTTACTTTTCAGTGCAAGTAAGTATATGGATTGCCTTAAAAACAATTGGTTTAATATTATTTAGGCAAAACTTCCCTTACCCCTGAACCAAGTCCAACAATTCTAGCTTCATTGAAAAATTATAAAATCTGCTTTTGCGAAATTTTGTTTATTTTATGATATAAGTTACAAAAATGTATATACAACACCCGTTACAATGTAAGAAAAAAATGTTCCATCAGGAATTGGCGACCTCCTTTATGCTCGTTGGTAAAATAAAATATTACTATATAATTTGAATTTTTTGTGGAAGAATTTGGGTGCTTAAGATAAAAACTCAAGGCGGATTCATAAAATACAAGTACATGAGTTGTTATTGTTTAAAGTTTAAATGATGTTTACCAAAATAACGACGTTATCAAATTTTTATTGGGAATGATTAGGCAAATTTTGGTTAGCGAATTACCATCTGTACGATATTCCTACGATACAATACATACAAAATTCGACAACAATCGGTCTGGTAGTTTCAGAGATTATTTGTTTAATAAAAATCGACATATAGACAACAGACAGATAGGCGAAATTGGAGACATATTTTTTCATTCTCTAGGGGTCATAAAGCGTCACGAAAAAAGAAATTAGTCATTCACCGGATGAATTCGGGAAGTAAAAAAAATGGACTATTTTTTAATTTCACGAGGGAAACAGTATTAATTTAATGAATATAGTTAAAACATTACTAAATGGCATTTATTCTGTCCCTCCACAAAATCTTCAAATTCCCGAATTCTGATCCAAAATATGTCAGAGGAAAAGGAGGTGACAATATTAAATATTCTAACCTGTATTTCATGAGATATTGTTTCTCTTGTCTTATAAAAATAATGCTTCCAAATGATTGAATATATTGAATATTGCATCTCATAATTAATCAAAGTTTGTAATTCAGCAGTCCAGGTGACAAAATTGGAAAGAACAGTTTTGGTATTAAAATAAAATATTAATACATACTGATAACAATTTCCTTTTTTCGGCGTTTATTATTTGCTTAAATTATGATGTACGAAAGTCCGCGTGTATGATTTGTAATCGTAATTTTTAAAATAAATGTGGTTTTATTTTACAATCAGCAAATTTAAACATATGTAGATAGTTTACGTGCAACACTCACATGTATTTGCGCAAAACCATAATTTTGTATTTGTCCTTCTCACCTAGAATACTGTGTACTCTGGCTGCCAAAAAGTAATGGATTAGACAGACGTTATTAAACACCTGTTAAACTACATATTTGAGTATCTTGAAATAAAAGCTTTACGTAATATATTGTACATAGGTTGCATTATATATTTTTTTATAAACATAAATGTGGACGTTTTTAAAAATACAAGGAATTTCAATAAAATTCTCTCCTAACAACACCGTCGAGGTTAATTTTGAACGTACCTCAAATATTTGTTCTTCAAATATCTTTGCGCTTAAACTTCGATAAAAATTAAATATTTTCTAAAATTTTTAGTGCGTCACACCACTTTTATTGTTTAATAAATTATAAAAGAAAATTTTCAAGCAGATACGAAAAATTGAACTCAAATAGGTCAACAGTCAAAATAACAATTACGCGATAATAAAATGAGGAATCAAATTCGTCCAAACTGTTGTATGCATTTATGAGCCCACCCACATTTTAGAAACAGAGTTAAATATACCACATTTTGTGCTTTTCAAAAATTTTGAATCATGTTCATGTCCTGAAATAAGGCTGCAGAAAAAAATAGACTTGACAGCATACAAAATCGGTTTTCATTAATTTTCATAAATTTTCTTTCTAGAATTCGTAATGTCACCTTTATTGCTTAGAATTTTTTATAAAACAGAATCATGTGGCATTCCAAAAATATTTGTTACCATAAATACGAAGGGTAGTAACCAATACAAATTGATGATTTTGTTGAAGTTGTTTATGGTGGTGTCACATAATTTTACTTAGTACCTTATGAAATATATAGCGAATAAAACGAAAAAGTTCTAAAACGAGACTTAAGGTAGTAACGCTTGATAACAAATATAACTGAAAACTTATGACAATAAAATACTCACTGGACGGCTTAGGGTCTCCAGTCACTCTGAACGAAACCACAATATCAGATTCGGGGGTAACTGTCATCACAGTATCAGGTCTTGAAAGGAACATCGCCGGTTTACCATCACGTATGGACGAAGGGTGGATTATCTGCACATACGAACAGGTTTCCGAGCGCCCGAAAATATTGGATGCCCTACACGTGTATTTTCCGGCTTCATACTCCGTGACATTAGGAATTAGAAGAGTGTGGACACCATTCTCTTCGAAAGTCCTGTGCTTTGTAGAAGCTTTTGGCAACTTATGACTCTCTTTGAACCACGTAACGTCTGCTGGACCTTTGATTTCAACCTGTAAAGCCATTATGCCTCCTGATGGTACCAAATGATCAGTCAGAACCCCAGAGAAATACGGTTTATGTCGATCTCGTGTAACAGTTGGTGTGGTAGTAATTTTGCTTTTTTCACGTATGTAATCCTCTTTGGTTGTAAATTTAACATCGTGAGAGATTTGATCACTCCATAATTCACTCTCAGCTCTGCAAGTATACTTTCCGCTGTCACTTCTTTCTGGATTTTTAATTGATAGCTTGCAAATGCCATCAGCAAGGTAACTTTGTAAGTAACGTCCACTGTCACGCAGTTCTGAACCATCTTTGTACCATTTGATTTTATGAGAACTGGAAGATCTAATCCGACATTCAAGATTCAATTCATCGTCTGAGATTTTGTAGGAATCTCGAAGAGGTCTGGTGAACGTCGGCGGTGTCATAGTCGATTCATACGCATTCAGAATTTTCAAATTCGCTGATGTCGTGCTAACACCGTGTTCATTCTTCGCAATGCAAGTGTATTCACCAGAATCTTCTATTGTTGTGTTTAATATTTCCAATGTTGTTAGACCGTTTGTGATGGAAATGTCGTAGTTATTTGTTGGTGATAACGTTTTGCCATTTTTCAGCCACACTATACTTAGATTTTCTGGATTAATAACACTGCAGGTTAGTTTTACTCTGGAAGAAACTGTCGCTTTTCGATCAGTTAAACTTGTACTGAAGGTAGGTTTTCTGTCAGCAAATCTAGGACCATGATATCCTCGAGGTTTAAACATCTCTAGATCATCATCATAAAACATTTTCCCTTCGAATTGTTTCCTTTGTCTAATATCTGAAGATATATCGGAACCATTGTAATCGTTCTCCACAGTTACAGTGGTTTGATAATTATAAGATCCATCTTGAGATTCTGATATTGACTCTGATTCCGTTTCATGTTTAATTTTCTCTTTGGTTTTCTTTTCAGTCTCATCTTGCATTTCTCTTTCTCTATGTTTATCAACTTTCGTGATTTCATCTTTCGCCTTCTTTTCAACCTTTGCTTCAGCTTTAATTTTTTCTTCCTTTTTAATATCCTCCTTAGGTTCCTCTTTAACTTTCTTTTCCACCTTCTCTTTTGATTTCTTTTCAGCTTCTTCTTTAGCTTTTCTATCTTTTTCTTCTTTAGTCTTCTTTTCAGCTTCTACTTTAGCTTTCATTTCAGCTTCCTCCTTAGCTTTCTTTTCGGCTTCGTCTTTGCCTTTCTTGTCAGTTTTTTCTTTAACTTTCTTTTCAGCTTCCTCTTTAGTTTTCTTTTCAGCTTCTTCTTTAGCTTTCTTTTCAGCTTCTTGTTTAGCTTTTTCCGCGTCCTCTTTAGCTTTCTTTTCAGTTTGTTCCTTGGCTTTCTTCTCAGTCTCTTCCTTAGCTTTCTTTTCAGCTTCCTCTTTTATTTTCTTCTCTCTTTCTTCCTTAGCCTTCTTTTCAGCTTTCTTTTTGTCCTTTATTTCTGCTTCCTCCTTAGCTTTCTTTTCGGCTTCCTCTTTAGCTTTCTTTTCAGCTTCTTCTTTAGCTTTCTTCTCAGCTTCTTCTTTGGCCTTCTTGGCCTCCACTTTAGCTTTCTTTTCAGCTTCTTCCTTCGCCTTCTTCTCAGCCTCCTCCTTAGCTTTCTTTTCAGCTTCCTCTTTTGCTTTCTTCTCTGATTCTTCCTTAGCCTTCTTTTCCGCTTTCTTTTTGGCCTTTAGGTCTGCTTCCCCTTTAGCTTTCTTTTCGGCTTCCTCTTTAGCTTTCTTTTCAGTTTCTTCTTTAGCTTTCTTTTCAGCTTCTTCCTTAACCTTTAGCGCCTCCTCTTTAGCTTTCTTTTCGGCTTCCTCTTTAGCTTTCTTTTCAGTTTCTTCTTTAGCTTTCTTTTCAGCTTCTTCCTTAGCCTTTTGCGCCTCCTCTTTAGCTTTCTTTTCAGCTTCTTCTTTCGCTTTCTTCTCAGCCTCCTCCTTAGCTTTCTTTTCAGCTTCCTCTTTTGCCTTCTTCTCTGATTCTTCCTTAGCCTTCTTTTCAGCTTTCTTTTTGGCCTTTAGGTCTGCTTCCTCTTTAGTTTTCTTTTCGGCTTCTTCTTTAGCTCTCTTTTCAGTTTCTTCTTTAGCTTTCTTTTCAGCTTCTTCTTTTGTTTTCTTCTCTGCTTCTTCCTTAGCCTTCTTCTCAGCTTCCTTTTTGGCCTTTATTTCAGCTTCGTCCTTAGCTTTCTTTTCGGCTTCCTCTTTTGCTCTCTTCTCTGCTTCTTCCTTAGCCTTCTTTTCTGCTTCCTTTTTGGCCTTTATTTCTGCTTCCTCTTTTGCTTTCATTTCAGCTTCTTCCTTAGCTTTCCTTTCAGTTTCTTCTTTAGCTTTCTGTTCAGCTTCTTCTTTAGCTTTCTTTTCAGCTTCTTCTTGGGCCTTCTTGGCCTCCTCTTTAGCTTTCTTTTCAGCTTCTTCCTTCGCCTTTTTCTCAGCCTCCTCCTTAGCTTTCTTTTCAGCTTCCTCTTTTGCTTTCTTCTCTGTTTCTTCCTTAGCCTTCTTTTCAGCTTTCTTTTTGGCCTTTATTTCTGTTTCCTCTTTAGCTTTCTTTTCAGCTTCTTCCTTAGCTTTCCTTTCAGTTTCTTCTTTAGCTTTCTTTTCAGCTTCTTCTTTAGCTTTCTTTTCAGCTTCTTCTTTAGCCTTTTTGGCTTCCTCTTTAGCTTTCTTTTCAGCTTCTTCCTTCGCCTTTTTCTCAGCCTCCTCCTTAGCTTTCTTTTCAGCTTCCTCTTTTGCTTTCTTCTCTGTTTCTTCCTTAGCCTTCTTTTCAGCTTTCTTTTTGGCCTTTATTTCTGTTTCCTCTTTAGCTTTCATTTCAGCTTCTTCCTTAGCTTTCCTTTCAGTTTCTTCTTTAGCTTTCTGTTCAGCTTCTTCTTTAGCCTTTTTGGCTTCCTCTTTAGCTTTCTTTTCAGCTTCTTCCTTCGCTTTCTCCTCAACTTCCTCCTTAGCTTTCTTTTCAGCTTCCTCTTTAGCTTTTCTTTCTGATTCCTCTTTAGCTTTCTTTTCTGCTTCTTCCTTAATTTTCTTCTCAGCCTCCTCATTAGCTTGTTTCTCAGCTTCTTCCTTTGCTTTCTTTTCGGATTCTTCTTTAACCTTTCTTTCAGTTTCTTCTCTAGCTTTCTTCTCAGCTTCCTCCTTAGCTTTCTTTTCAGCTTTCTCTTTAACCTTTCTTTCAGCTTCCTCTTTAGCTTTTTTCTCAGTTTCTTCCTTAGCTTTCTTTTCAGTTTCTTCTTTAACCTTTCTTTCAGCTTCTTCTTTAGCTTTCTTTTCAACCTCCTCTTTAGCTTTCTTTTCAACCTCCTCTTTAGCTTTCTTTTCCGCTTCCTCTTTAGCTTTCTTTTCAGCTTCTTCTTTAGCCTTCATTTCAGCTTTTTCTTTGGCCTTTATTTCAGCTTCTTCTTTAGCTTTCTTCTCAGCTTCTTGTTTAGCCTTCATTTCGGCTTCTTCTTTAGATTTCTTTTCAGCTTCCTCTTTAGCCTTTTTCTCAGTTTCTTCTTTAGTTTTCCTTTCAGCCTCTTCTTTAACTTTCTTCTCAGCTTCGTCTTTAGCTTTCTTTTCAGCTTTCTTTTTAGTCTTTCTTTCTGATTCCTCGGCGGCTTTCTTTTCAGCTTCTTCTTTAGCTTTCTTCTCATTTTCTTCCTTTGTTTTCTTTTCTGCTTCTATTTTAGCTTTGCTTTCCGCTTCTTCTTTAGCTCTCATCTCAGCTTCCTCTAACGTTTTCTTTTCGGTTTCCTCTTTAACTTTTCTTTCTGCTTCCTCTTTAGCGTTCTTCTCAATCTCCTCTACAGCTTTAGTTTCAACTTCTTCTTTAGTTTTAAGTTCAGCTTCTTCTTTAGTTTTAAGTTCAGCTTCTTCTTTAGCTTTCTTTTCAGTTTCTTCTTTAGCTTTCTTCTTGGCTTCCTTCTTAGCTATTCTTTCAGATTTTTTGTCAGTCTCTTCCATCTTTTCCTTCTCTTTGTCTTTAGATTTCTCTTCAACTTTGTCTTCAGCTTTTACCTCCTCTTTTTCTTCAACTTTCTTTTCAACTTTTGCTTCAGTCTTCTTTTCTGTTTCTTCTATTATTTCCTTTTTAATTTCTTCTTTAGCTTGTTCATCAGCTTCATCCTTAGTTTTCTTTTCAGCCTCCTCTTTAGTCTTAGCATCCAATTTTTCTTTAATTTCTTCTTCATTTTCATCGTCTACCACGTATTCAAATTTAATATTATTTATTCTTTGTTGAATCTGCGAAATTACTTCAGATAAAAATTTGAAATGTTCTCTTAAACAGTTGACGGATTTGTTATTGCTTTCTGTTATAATTAGTTGTTCTAAATATTGTTTCAAATCGTTTATGATAGCTTTAAAAACCAAAATGTTAACTGAACTGGAAACAGTCATGGACAATCTACTCAAAGCACTATTTACTTCATTAAAGTCGTGTTCGTCTTTTTTATTTAAATCATCAACTAGTCCAAATTCGGCTATTTCTGAAATAATTTTTGCACTAGTTTTATTTAATTTCGATATTGGTTCATTAAATTCTTCTAATTTAAGAGCTTTAGTATCTTGTCCACTTTCTTCAAATTCAGTGATCTTAGTTTTACAAGAAAACTGACCGTCCATTTTTTCCAAAGAAACTTTCATGTTTTTCAAAAGTTTGTAATCCACACGATATTCTCTTGTAACATTATTTACAACATCATTAACTTTGTCTGTAAATAATTTTAGTGCAGGTGCAAATGAATCTTCCTTTATTTTCTTCTCGTCATAAGTGACAGATACGTCTTTCAGGCAGGTACTAAATGTTTTTAATTTGTTTATGAAGGTTTTAATATCGTTGTGACTAATCTTTTTAGAAGAAGAATTGATTCTTATGACTTCTACAACCACATCTTCATAAGGTTCTTGTAATGATGCAAATTTGTCGATAATGTCAGAGTGAACATCTTCTTGTTCTTTATCCTGAGTTTGTTGGTGTGCAACTACTGCATTTATAAATTCCTTTAGTGATTTTTTTATTGGAATAAAATAACTCAGAGCATTTATAACATCTGGGGCAAAATCAGATTGATTTTCCATTAATATAATTTCATCTTCAAGTTGCGCACTTATTTGTTTGAATGGTTGGAAGTTCATCTTTCTTTTCTCTTTTAATTTGTTTTCAACGTCTGATAAAGTAGCAGACAATTTTTGTAACGGAACATGGATAACCTGCAAAGCTTTGACTTCAGGCAACACCTGAACGACATCGACAATGTGCTTATTCAAAGATGTGACTGCTTTAATTAATTCTGGCTTTTCTTTTTCCTGAACATTTGATTTGCTGATAATATGTGTTATATTCGACACTACTAAAGAAAGTTTCTCCATTGGTTCTTTCACTCTTGTTATTTTTTCGATAGTTGTAGGTTTCAAATTATCCAGTTCTTCTAAAGAAATCACTTCCGTCTGAACCAAAGCTTGCTGTAGATTTTCTAGTTCTGCTTTGATGTCTAACACAGTCAAGACGCCTTTTTGAACAGAAAGTTGAATATCTTTACTTTCAGCATGAAGCGTTTTCAAATCTAGACACAGCTGAGAAACTGATTGAGTAATACCTTCTGTTACTTTTGAATCAGTTTGTCTTTTTTCTTCTTTTTCAAATTCGGCTTCAATTTGTGTCAAAGTAGAAGATAAATTCTTCAATGCCACAGATGTTTTTTCTAGAGGTCTAGTTTTATGAATTTCTTGACTAACTTCTTCCAAATTACAAATAGCAGCTTTTATCGCCTTACGCATTGGCGGAATTTGTATCAGTTGAATAGATGCTTTTTGAGGAGAATTTGTCAAGTCAGTGATAACTGAAGAGAACTGTTGGAGCGGTTCTTTTAGAGAATCTAGTTTTTTGAAAACGTCAGGCTTAATGGCTTTAACTTCTTCAGTGTTTAATTTCTGCGTTTCTAGAAGAGCTTCTTTTAGATTTGAAAGTTTTTCTTCTGCTTGTAGAACACTTACAACACTTTTGGATGCTTGAACATTTTTACATTCAATTTGTAGAAACTGAACATTAGATATTACTTTGGAAACAGGTTCTAAAATTAGATCACTTATACCTAAGTACTTTTCAGGTACAGAAATTTCTTTATCAATTTTTGATAATGTTGCAGATAGATTCTTGACCGAAATTAAAGTGCTTTCTATCGTTTTAGTTTCAGGAACTTTTTGACTTACTTCGTCGAGTTGACATTTTAACGCTTGTATAGCTTTCTGCAACTTTGGTTTTTGTTCTGTTGTTATTTCTGGTTTCTGGACAGTACTTTGCATTTCAACAACAACTTCAGAAAGTTTTTGCAACGGTTCTTTCAACGCGTGTATTTGAGATAGTGTTTCAGGTGTCAAATCTGCGACAGATTCTAAAAATATAGTTTCAGATTCGATTAAACTTTGTTGTAACATAGACAAATCTTTTTCGATTTGTATAATACTTAAAGTACCTTGTTGCACATCAGACTTAACGTCTTCACATTTGGCATTTAGAGTTTTAATATTTTCACGAAGAGCAACAACAGGTTGAAGAATAATATCTGAGAGCTTGGTTGTCTTTTTTCCTTCAATTTTGGTACCAACTTCGGATAATGTGGCTGATAATTTTTTAACAGATGTTGATAATGCTTCTAAATGCTTTGCTGGGGGTAAAGTTTGTGAAATTATATCTAACTGGCATTTAAGAGCAGACAGTGCTTTACACATTTTTGGTTTCTCCTTTAGTTGTATTTTGGGTTTGTTAACTATAGATTTGGCCTTAACAACAACTGCACAAAGATCAGCAACAGGTTCTTGTAGAGATGCTATTTGTGTGGAAATTTCGCCACTTATGTTTTCAACATCTTCAAGAACGAACTTTTCAAAATCTGTAAAAGCTTCTTTAAGAGATAGTAAATCCCTTTCGATGTCAACTACTGTCAAAATACCCTGTTGTGAAACTGTTTTCAACTCTTTAGTTTCACCTTTAAGTGACTGTATGTCTTCTATAAGATTCGAAACCGGCTTGATCAACAGTTCGGTTTTCTTTAGTTTTTCTTCGTTTTGTAGTTTGTTGTCGACTTCTGATAATTTTGCAGACAGTTGTTGAATGGAAGTTGACACAATTTGAAGTGATTCAGTCTTTGGAATTGATTGTGTTAATACATCTAATTCACACTTCAGTGTTGTGAGCGCTTGACACAAGTTTGGTTTTTGTTGTTCTTGGATATCTGGTTTTTGAACAGAATTTCTGATTTCTACGATCACCGAAGACAACTTCTCCAACGGTTCTTTTACAGCACTTAATTTTTCTTTTACAATTCCCGTTTCACCCTCTTTTGTTGTTGGAATTTGTTGTGCTTCAGTTAAAGATGTTTCTAACGACGATACGGCAGATGACAATTCAAGAATATTTAAGACACCACGTTCTGGTGCAATATTTAAATCAGTTAGGCTAGAATTCAAAGCTTGAATTTCTTGAGATAGAGCAAGTACTGGCTCTTGAAGAGCTTGTAGAGGAGACTCTGTATTTACGACTTGTTTTTGTTCTTTTTGTGGTTCATGCTTTTCTGTGAGTTGTTGGTCAACTTGTGATATTTTTGCCGAAAGCTTATCTAAAGGTATGCTCAAAACTTCTAAAGATTTTACTTCTGCAAGAGTTTGATTGATTTCATCTATCTGACATTTTAGTGCAGTCAGGGCAGTGTGTGTTTTTGGTTTATCGTCTTCAATTTTCAACTGAGTTGGAGCAGATTTTAATTCAGTAACAACCGCAACTAGCTCTTGTATTGGTTCTTTCAGTGCCTTAATCTTTTGGAATGTTTCGGGTGGAATAGTTTCAATGTCTTCATATTTCTCCGTTATTTGTAGAGCTTCTTGCAATGTTGTAACCTCGTGTTCTAACTCGATTATACCAAGGGTAGCTTTCTGAGGTTCGATGCCGCGTTGTTGAATTTGCAAAGTTTTCAGTTCTTCCGATAAAGCGGAAATTGGCTCAAGTAAAGTTTTCTTCAACTGTGAAGCCTGCTGTTGACTTTTGGCCTCCACTAAACTTTCAACTTCAGAAATTTTAGCCGATAGCTTGTCAATCGGTAACGTCGTCGTTTCAAACATTTTTGCTTCCGGTATAATTTGTTTTATATGGTCTAACTGACCTTTCAATGCTTGAAGAGCTTTCCTAATTTTTGGTTTTTGTTGTTCGTTTACTTCCGGTTTGGTCAATGTACTTCTAATTTCGATGACAGCTGTTGAAACTTCTCTCAACGGTTCTTTCAAAGCTTCTATTTCATTTAGTGTCTGGAAGGTTATGTTCGCCACTTCTTCTGATGAAAATTGTTGAGATGTTATTAAAGCTTCTTGCAGACTAGCGATTTCTGGTTCTAAGTTTAATACACCAAGTACGCCTTGTTGTGGAGCCAAATTTAGATCTTTAGCGTCCAGTTGTAAAGCATATATTTCTTCAGAAAGATCCATAAGAGGTTGCAACATTGTTTTAATTACTTCTGATTCTGTTTTCTTTGGTTTTTCTGGCAAGTTTATCATTTCTTGAACTTCAGCTAAAGTGGCGGAGAGTTTTTGTATGGCCACAACCGAAGACTCTACAGGTTTTGATTTAGGAATGTTTTGAGATACTTTATCTAGTTCGCATTTTAAAGTAGCCACAGCTCTCGAAATTTTGGGTTTTTGTTCTTCTCGCACTTCTGGTTTATGCACCTTACTTTTTATTTCTACAAGAACAGCAGACAGTCGTTCGACCGGTTCCTTCAAAGTTCTAATTGATCCCAAAACCTCATCCGGTATTGACTCTGTTTGCTCATAACGAAGAAACTCTTCCTGCATGGCAATTAGATCATTAGCAATTTCGGCAACACTTATAACACCATGCTGAGGAACAAGTTTCACGTTTTGAATTTCTGATTGTAAAGACTTAAGTTCTTCAGATAAAGAGACAATAGGAACTAGAATGGCTTCTTTAAGTTCTGAACTCTTTTCAATTATTTCTTTTTGCTCGGTTAGTTTTTCAACGGATGATAATTTTGCTGACAACTGTAAAACTGCTTGTGATGATTTCTGTAATAATTGTGCCTCAGGAAGTACTTGATTTACTTTATCTAGTTCACACTTTAAAGCTAATAGAGCTTGTTTGACCTTTGGTTTACTTTGTTCAAGAATCTCTGGCTTTCTTATCGTGCTTCTCACTTCAATAACAACAGCTGATAGTTGGTCCAATGGTTCTTTTAAAGCTTGTATTTGATTTAAAGTTTCAGGTTTTATTGCAGCGATACGTTCGGAATAAAGCTGTTCCGAAGACATCAATGACTCTTGAAGTACAGATATTTCAGGTTCTAGCTGAACCACACTAAGAACTCCCTGTTGAGGACTCAGTTTCAAGTCTTTACTATCAGTTTGCAACGCTTTCACTTCTTCACATAAATCCATAATTGGCTGAAGTACCATTTTTAGTACTTCCGATTCCGTTTTCGTAGGAAGCTCCGGTAAATTAATCACAGTGTCAACCTCTGAAATTTTTGCAGAAAGTTTTTTCATAGCTAAGATTGACGTTTCTAAATGTTTGGCTTCTGGTGTAACTTGAGAAATTTTATCTAGTTCAGATTTTAGAGCCAGTAAAGCTTTACTAACTTTAGGCTTTTCTTGTAACTGAACCTCTGGTTGATGGATTGTATTATTTATTTCTACAACAAGAGTAGACAAAGTTTGAAGAGGTTCCTTAAGCGCTTTAATATGTTCTTCAACAACCGGTACTACTTGTTCAAGTTGTTCAAATGGAACTTCTGTCGAAATTTTCATTGCTTCATTTAAAGCTGACAATTCATGCTCTAGCTCAATAATTCCTAGTACTCCTTGCTGAGGAGCTATTTTAATGTCTGCACTTTCCGTTCGTAAAGTTTGAAGCCCTTTGATGGTGTTCTCGAAAGGTTGCATCAATTCTTTTTTAAATTGTAACTTTGCTTTCTGATCTTCTTCTTCCTCATCTATTGTGCTTTCAATTTTCTCCAACTTAGCAGATAACTGCTTTAATGTTATTGCTGATGATTCTAGTACTTTAATTTCAGGAACATTTTGAATTATTTTATCTAAATCGCATTTCAAAGCTATCACAGCACTTTTGACTTTTGGTTTCTTCTCTTGACGTACTTCCGGTCTTTTAACTCCGCATCGAATTTCAACAATAATGGCAGAGAACTTTTCTAAAGGTTCTTTCAAACATTCAATTTGTTGTAGAACTTCAGGTTTCAACGTGGCCACTTTTTCAGAAGAAAATTCTTCTGAAGTTATCAAAGATTCTTGCAAATTTGACATCTCTTGTTCTACTTGCACCAAACTTAGTACTCCTTGTTGCGTCGACAATTTTAAGTCGTTTACGTCTGCATGTAAGGCTTTTATTTCTTCAGACAAATCCATTATTGGTTGAAGCATGAGTTTAATTACTTCTGATTCTGTTTTTGATTTTTGTTCAGGCGCAGTTAGCGCACTTTCAATTTCGGACAATTTAGCAGAAAGCTGTTTAAGAGATATTTGTGATGTCTGCAGCTGTTGCGATTGTGGAATGTTCTGAGAAACCTTATCTAACTCACATTTTAGAGCTGCTACAGCAGTAGAAATTTTGGGTTTCTGCTCTACCTGGATTTCAGCCTTACTTACAGAGTCTTTTAATTCTACAACAACAGATGATAACTGTTGCATGGGTTCTTGTAAAGTTTTGATTTGTTCGCATACTAATGGAACTGTAGACTCGATAGGTTCGACTTGCTCATAAGCAGTTAGAGCGTCTTGAAGCTCAGATAAAATTGGTGCAAGTTCCATTAGAGCTAAAACACCCTGTTCGGGTTTCATCTGTACATTCTGAGTTTCAGCTTTTAAAGTTTGTATTTCTTCAACAAGAGTAACGAGAGGCTGTAACGTTCCTTGGATCTTCACTTTCTCTTTAACTGGACTTTCTTCTGCATCTAGTAATTTTTCAACTTCAGATATTTTTCCTGAAAGTGCTTTCAAAGTTAAAGATGCTGATGCCAAAATTTGTGCTTCAGGAAGCAATAGCAAGACCTCTTCAATGTTTAGTTTGACCGCAATCAACGCGTTCTTCACCTTTGCTTTTTTCTGCTCCAACAGTTCTGGTTTTTTGAGAACACATCTGACATCAATTGTCACGTCAGATAATTCTTTCAACGGTTGTTTTATAGCCTGGATTTTCTGCAATATTTGCAAATTGACATTAGATATCTTTTCAGAACAAAACTCTTCAGAAGTTATAAGCGCCTCTTGTAATGCTGTCAGTTCGTTTTGTAATTTAACAATAGTCAATACTCCTTGAGAGGAATCTATTTTGACGTCACTAATGTCTGATTGTAGTGCTACCATTTCTTCTGATAAGTCCATGATAGGTTGCAACACAAACTTGATTACTTCTGATTCAGTTTTCGTAGGCTTTTCTTCCGATGTTATAATAGTTTCTACTTCAGAAATTTTAGCAGAAAGCTGTTGCACAGCTGTCATTGACGTTTCCAATTGTTTTGCTTTTGGAATATTTTCTGCAACTATGTTTAGTTCACATTTTAGAGCGGTCAGCGCCTCACAAATTTCAGGTTTTTTCTGATCAAGAATCTCTGGTTTTGTTAAGGTGCTTTTTACTTGTACAACGATGGCGACTAGTTTTTCTAAAGGTTCTTGCAAAGTCTTTATTTTTTCCAAATCTTCGGTAGCTATAGTTTCCAGTTCTTCAGGGGAAATTTGTTCACACGTAATCAAAGCTTCTTGGAGAGAAACTAGCTCCGACTCTATATTTATAACACTTAAAACAGCTTGTTGAGGAAGATTGATTGCTTGACATTCTGTCTGCAGAGCTTTAATTTCTTCGCATAAAATGACCACAGGTTGCAAAACTGATTTTAGATCAGATTTCTTGTCAATATGCGTTTCGGGTGTTGTCTTTTCAACGGGTTCTTTCCCTTTTTGTTTATCAATAGTTTCTTCCTCTTTTGTCTTTTCAACAGGTTTTTCCTCTGCTGTCTTTTCAACAAGTTCTTCCTTTGTTGTCTTTTCAAGAGGTTCTCTCTCTTTTGTCTTGTCAACAGGTTGTTCCTCTTTTTTCTTTTCAACGGGTTTATCCTCTGCCACCTTTTCAACAGGTTCTTTCTTTGTTGTCTTTTCAACGGGTTCTTCCTCTGTTGTCTTTTCAACAAGTTCTTCCTTTGTTGTCTTTTCAACAGGTTGTTCCTCTTTTTTCTTTTCAACAGGTTTATCCTCTGTTACCTTTTCAACAGGTTCTTCCTTTGTTGTCTTTTCAACGGGTTTTTCCTCTGGTGACTTTTTAACAGGTTCTTTCTCTTCTGACTTTTTAACAGGTTCTTCCTCTGTTGTCTTTTCAACAAGTTCTTCCTTTGTTGTCTTTTCAACAGGTTGTTCCTCTTTTTTCTTTTCAACAGGTTTATCCTCTGTTACCTTTTCAACAGGTTCTTCCTTTGTTGTCTTTTCAACGGGTTTTTCCTCTGGTGACTTTTTAACAGGTTCTTCCTCTGCTGACTTTTTAACAGGTTCTTCCTCTGTTGTCTTTTCAACAAGTTCTTCCTTTGTTGTCTTTTCAACAGGCTGTTCCTCTTTTTTCTTTTCAACAGGTTTATCCTCTGTTACCATTTCAACAGGTTCTTCCTTTGTTGTCTTTTCAAGAGGTTCTCTCTCTTTTGTCTTGTCAACAGGTTGTTCCTCTTTTTTCTTTTCAACGGGTTTATCCTCTGCCACCTTTTCAACAGGTTCTTCCTTTGTTGTCTTTTCAACGGGTTTTTCCTCTGGTGACTTTTTAACAGGTTCTTCCTCTGCTGACTTTTTAACAGGTACTTCTTCTGCTGTCTTTTCAACAAGTTCTTCAACTGGCAACATTTCTTCAACAATAGACAATTTAGCAGAAAGTTTTTCAATTTCTACTGAAGCAACTTGTAACATTTTCACTTCTGGAATTATTTGAGTTATTTTGTCTAGTTCACATTTTAAAACTATCAGGGCTCTTCTGAGTTTGGGTTTTTTAGTTTCGCGGACTTCTGGTATATTAATTACATTCCTAACTTCAATAACAATTGACGAAAGCTTCTGCAGTGGCGCTTTTAAAGATTCTATGCAGTGGAGAGCTTCTGCAGTTATAGTACTAACTTGTTCAGATGAAAACTGTTCCGAAGCTATTATTGCTTCTTGAAGATTTAAAATTTCTTCTTTTAAATCTAGTACACCAAGCACGCCTTGTTGAGGAATGACACTAATATCTTTAATATCTGCTTGTAATATTGTTATTTCTTCTGACAAATCCATTATTGGTTGCAACATGATCTTCAGTATTTCTGATTCTGTTTTAACAATTTTTTGAACTTCATTTTTATCGTCAATTTGTGTTAGCGTGCCACAGAGTTGTTTAATTGCTACGGACAAATGTTGGGCATACTTTGTTTCAGGAAGGTTTTGGAACACCATACTAAGTTCAGATTTCAATAAATTTAATGCTTTTTTTACTTTTGGCTTTAATTTTTCTTGAATTTTGGGTTTTTTGAGTGAACTTCGCACTTCCACAACAATAGCTGAAAACTTTTCTAGAGATTCTTTTAATGACTGAGTTTGTTGCGTTCCAGACAAGGCTATGTCGCTTGTCTCTTCACAAAGATGTTGTTCATAAACAATTAAAGCATTTAGAAGAGTATTTAAATCATTTTGAATGTCAACTATTGTTAAAACTCCTTGTTGCGGGCTTACTCCTAGGTCTTGGAGGTCTGCTTTCAACGCTTGTATTTCTCCACTTAAAACTTGAACTGGTTGAAGAGCTGTCTGTGTTAATTCTTCAGAAGGTGGCTCTTCAGAACTAATGGAGGTTTCCACTTCAGATAATTTGGCACAAAGTTGCTTCAAAGCAACTGAAGAGGTCTGCAACTGTTGTGCTTCCGATGCTTTTGATATTTTTTCTAATTCACATTTCACTGCTGTAACAGCCTTGGCAATTTGTTGCTTTTGTTGTTCTTGAAGTTCTGGTTCATGTACTGCTGTTTTAACCTCCACGATAATTGCTGCAAGTTCTTTCAAAGGTTCTTTCAATATTTCAGTTTGTTGTAAAGCTGGTGAAGAAATATCTTCGATACTTTCAGTTGACACTGACTCCGTAACACTTAAGGCTTCTTTTAAATTAACTAAAGTTTCTTCAATCTCTATAATACTTAAAATGCCTTTCTGTGGAGTCAACTTTAATTCCTGGCTTTCTGTGCGCAAAGCTTTGATATCTTCAACAATATTGACCAATGGTTGTAAAAGATCTTCTTTCGAGGTACTTTTTGGTGATGGTTTTTCTTCAACTTCTAATGATTTTTCCGCTTCTGATAGTTTCAACAAAAATTCTTCTATAACTGTCAAAAGAGTTTTGAAAGAGTCTGTTTTTGGAATCTTGTGCAAATAATCTTCTAATGCATTTTTGAGTGTCTGAAGAGTAGCTGCCAGCTTTGGTTTTACATTTCTTAATGTTTCTGGTTGTTTTAGTTTACTTCTTATTTCGACAACAACAGATGCCAATTTCTTAAGCGCATCTTCCAAAATTGTTACTTGTTGCAATGTTTCTAACTCCGGTTTACTTACAGATTGTCCACATAAATTAACAGCTTTTTGTAGATCTATCAAATTTTGTTCTATTTGTAGAGGAACCAATATACTCTTTTCAACTAAAACTGCGTCTTCTGCATCACACTTCAGAGCTCTTATTTCGCCTAACAACTCTGTAACTGACTGAAGATTAATTTCGACCAGTTCTTCAGGTCTGTCTTTTTCTTCAGAAGCTATCACATTTTCAATTTCAGAAAGTTTAGCTGACAATTTCTGAATGGCGACTGAAGCCGTCTGCAAACCTTGAGCTTGTGGAATTGCTTGGGAAACTTTATCTAATTCACATTTCAGAACTGCTACAGCTTTTTCGAGTTTCGGCTTTTGTTCCTGAACTTCTGCTTTCTTCAGAGCGGTTGTCGTTTCTACAACAACAGCCGAAAATTGTTCCAGTGGCTCTTTTAATGATGTTATAGTTTGTAACGTTTGCTGATCTTCAGTGGAAATTAGCAAGGCTTCTTGTAATGTTAAAAGATTCTCTTCTACTTCTGTTAAACTTAAAATGGATTGTTGCGGTTTCGCAGCCACATTTTCACTTTCTGCTCGCAGTGTTTTAATTTCTTGTACTAAATTGGTAATAGGTTGAACCATAGCTTGCTGCATTTGTACGCTCTGTGGGGGTTTTATTTCATCTAAATGTTCTTCAACGGTTGCTATTTTAGCTGAGAGTTGCTGACAAACTAGTAGTGTCGTTTTTAACGCTTGAGTTTCTGGGATGTTGACACAGGCTTTATCTAATTCGCATTTTAAAGCAGACAATGCTTTACGAATTTTAGGTTTTTCTTGTTCCGTCACCTCTGGCTTCTTAACAGCACTTCGTACTTCAACTACAACAGTCGAAAGTATTTCCAGTGGTTCTATTAAAGCTCGAAGGTGCTCGACTCCTTCTAAATTAGCCACTTCTGCAGATGTTTCGATCAATGATAGCGCATTCTGTAAATCGAGTAAATTTTCTTCAATTTCGACAACACTAAGGATTCCTTGTTGGGCTTCCGGTTTTATATCTTTAGTATCTAAGTGTAATGCCCGTATTTCTGAAGCTAAATTAAATATTGGTTGTAAAATAACGGAGACAACTTTAGGTTCCTCTGTTGGCTTCTCCTCCAGCTCCAAAGATGCTTCAAGATCCGTCAGCTTTGAGGAAAGTTGTTTAAGCACAACTGCTGAAATTTCTGGAATCTTAGCTTCAGGAGTAGCTTGAGTTATCTTATCGACTTCGCATTTTAGTGCTTTCACTGCTTGTTTAACCTTAGATTTCTGTTCCTGAATTTCAGGTTTAATAACAGCGGTATTAATTTCCACTATAGTAGCGGCTAGCTTTTCTAAAGGTTCTTTAAGTGTTTGAATTGTTTGAACAGTTTCAGTGGTTTGAACGTAATCTACTTGCTCCAAAGGTAAGTGCTCTGACTCTATCAAGGTTTTTTGCAGGTTAATTAAGTCTTCTTCCAATTCTATAACTTTTAAAACACCTTGTTGAGCACCAACTACATCTTTAGTTTCTAATTTGAGAACTTTAATTTCTTCAGTTAGTACCGTAATAGGTTGAAGCATATCTTGCTTCAACTTCATTTCTTCCTGGATTTGAATATCCTCTGCATCTAGTGCTTTTTCAACTTCTGTTAACTGGGCTGAAAGTTGTTTAATATTAACTGTCACTGTTTCTAACGTTTTAGTGGCAGGTACAGCATGAGCAACTCTATCTAGTTCGCATTTTAGACCTTCCACAGCTTTGCGCAATTTTGGTCGTTTTTGGGCTGCTACTTCTGGTTTCATAAGTGAAGTTCTAACTTCGATTACAGCAGCACAAAGTTCTTCTACTGGTTGTCTTAAAGAATGGACTTGCTCAATCGCTTTAGTTGTACCTTCAGGACCTTGTTCAAAACTTATTAAAGCACTTTCTAAACTGGCAAGATTTTGTTGAATTTCTAGTACTCCTAAAAGACCCCGTTGAGAACTTGCTTGCGCATCTTTAAGATCTAAATCTAAAGCTTTTATCTCATCTTTTAATGTTACTATAGGTTGCAGCACACCCGCCGCTTTTTCTTCTTCTTTTTCAGCTCCTTCTTCAGATTCAGCAATTACGTTGTTAATTTCCTCAAGTTTACATGAAAGCTCTGTAACTGCAGGGACTGATATTTTGAAATATTGTGTTTCTGCGACTTGAGACACTTTCTCCAAGTCACATTTTAAAGCTGCTACTGCTTCTTTTACTTCTAGTTTCTTTGCTTCCAATATTTCAGGCTGGTTGACAGCATTTTTGATTTCAGTGATAATTGCTGTTAATCTTTCTAAAGGTTGCACTAACTTTCCATATTGTTCTATTTCTTGTGGTTGAATTTTTTCCACTTCTTCCAGAGGAATTTGCTGCGAAATAACTAAAAAGTTATTCCAGTTTAATAAATCCTCTTCAATTTTGACAATACTTAGGACAGCTTGCTGAGAAGTAGTTGTTACGTTTTCAACGTTTGCTTTAAGACTTTTAACTTCTTTGATCAGTTGACTGAGTGGTTCGCTAATCACCTTGACTAATTCAGCTTTCTTATGTTGGAGCTTCTGTTCATGTTCAATCGTACTCTGCACATCTAGAACTTTTGCAGAAAGTTTTTGCACAGCCAGCAAAGTTACCTCAGGCATTTGGGTTTCCGCTGCTTTATGTAATTCAGATTTAACCACTTCCAAAGTTTCACATATTTCGGATTTAGAAGCCTCTTGCATTTCTGGCATGTTGAGTGTGGTTTTTAACAGCACTACAGCTTTAGACAACTTCTCTAAAGGTTCTTTTATTTGTTCAGACTGAGTTGTAGGTTGTTCAGTCTTCAACAAAGCGTTTTGTAATTCAAGAATATTCTCTTCAATATCGACGACAGAGTAAAGCCCTGATTGTGACACAACTTTTGCTTCTGCCAGTTCCATTTTTAAAGTTTTTACATCATCCAGTAAATTTGTTGTTTGTGTTAGAGCAACATTTTCTTTTTGTTCGATTTGTTCACTTCTTATTTGCTGCTCTATATTCCCTATTGACGAAGAAAGATTTTGAACTGCTGCCAGCGTAGTTTCCAAAACTTTCACAGCAGGAATTGTTTTGGCTACTTGGTCAAGTTTAGACTTTACGATGTTTAAGTTTTCACATACTTCTGCTTTCTTAAGTTTGTCGATGTCTTCTTTATTTGCAATATCTTTAATTTCATTGATGACTGATGATAGTTTTTCAACAGGTTCTATAAAAGCTTTAGCTACAGTTTTCGCTTCTTCTGGAATTTGTTCGCACAATTCACCCGAATGCTTATCAGCTTCTTCCAAAGAATTTGTTAATGAAGCAATCTCTTCTTTTAAAGCAACAATGCCTAGGACACCTTTCTGTGAAGAAACTTGCAGATTTTGTATCGTTGTTTGCAATAAACCGACTGCTTTGGACAAAATAACTAACGGCTCTCTTAGAACTCTAATCATTTCTTTATTTTCTTGCAAAATTGTGTTTTCTTCGTTCGCAAATTTATCGCAGATTTCTTTGAGTTTGCTATGGAGCTCTTGCGTAGGAGCGACTATGTTGCTCATTTCTTTGTGCGAAAGCAACATATTTAACAACCCATTAATATGATCTCGCAAAGAAGTTGTCACTTGATGCAACCAGTTTCTCTCTTCTTTTGATTCAGGTCTTTTAACACAATCTTTCCTTTTACTAACTGCAGAAGATAATTTCTGAACAGGTTCTTTAATTAATGTTGCTTTTTCTGTAATGTTAGTCGGAATGTTTTCACCTTTTTCGGCTGCATTTAAAGACTTCATAAAATGTACCAAACTGTCTTCTACTTCAATCAAGCTCTGTGTGGCTTGTCTGGAAGTCACCCCTGACGCTTGATATTCTGATTTTAGTGCCTTTATTTCATGGCATAAGTTTTCTATTGGCTGATTCAAAGCAGCCGTAATAGGAAGGTGACTTGCTTCCAATTTAGCAAACTCATTTTGAATGTAGTCAATCTTCAGTACGATCAGCTTCAATGGTTCTACCACCAGTTGAAAAGCACCGGCTTCAGTTGATAATTTAATCAAAGCGTCTGCTTTATTTTTCAGTTTTGAAAGCGATTTTCTAATTTCGTTTTTACACTTTCCTAATTCCGGTTTACACAAAACTTTTTCAACAGCAGACAATTTTTTAACCAAATTTTTAAATTCTTGCATGGTATTGTTTAAAGTTTCTAAATTTTCCATAGTCAAATCTTTTACTTTGTCTTTATTTATGAAGTCTGCTAGAGTATGCAGACTCTCTAGCAGAAAGAGGAACCCATCATCAAGCTCTTCGCACGAAATTAAATCAGGATGTTCCTTATTGGTTTTCACTGCAGTTACGAAAGCTTGCAATGTCTGTCTTGATTCAGAGAGAGTTTTTTCAAAGTTTTCTATGACAGCTAAATTCTCAGTCTTATTTTCATTGATTATTGGTTCACTGGTGCTTGATTTTTCTTCTTCCTCCTCTTCTGGTTTTTCTAATAGTTGCGGCACTTCTTCCACTACATCGGTTTTTTGTTCTGCCAAAGATTCCCACGCTTCTTCTATTTTAGCAGTTAGAGCTTGTAAAGGCTGATTTATAATGGTAACTGATCGCGCTCCTTCTGTAGACTGTACTAGTTCTACATTTTCTTTAAAACTAACAAGGGCTTGTTTTAATTGTTGCTTTTCCACCTCTGTAACTTGCGGAGTTTGTAAATTTTCTTGAACAGAAGTCATTAAAACTGCTAATTTTTGCAGAGGTTCTTGCATGCGTTCTAACGTTTCTTGTCTAACAGCTAACTCTTCAGCAGACTCTACAACCATTTCTTCTGACTTTTGAATACCTTCCTTTAATTCTTCTAAAGATTGACTAATTTCTGATAAAGAAACTACTGCTTTTTTAGGTTGTGCACATGTTTCAATATTGGAAGCAAGTAATTTAACATCTTGTTGTATTTGTAGTAATGGTTGTTTTAAATCAGGTAGACTTTTAACTTCCAGTGGCACACTTTCAGTTGCAGTAATAAATCCGTTTAGACAGTTAAGTAATTGTGTAAAATTTTTAATGCGCAATTTCCTTTTGTCCGTCTTTAGAATATTTTTACAAACATCACTGAGCTTTGCCAAAGAGCTAGAAATATCAGCAGTTGGAGAAGTTGTGCTGATAATGGTTATCGCATCATTCAAGTTTGACTTCACTTCATCAGCAAGAACCTCGACAGATTCGTATTCAGCACTTTTTAAGTTATCCAGAATTGATCGAACCGGTTGCAGTAAATTTTGTAAACCCGAACTGACAAAGTTAGCTTTTAAGTTTTCTTCATTTGTCAGTATTTTCTGTAACGTATTGGTAAAAGTGCTTCTATTTGATAATTCCGCTTGAATGTTTATTATGGCTTTGGCAAAATTTTCAATCGGAGGCAACAACTTTTGCAAGACAGACTCTTGTCCGGAAGGAACTTCAATTAAAACAGCTTTGTTACAGACAGAAATTAAAGTGCTTTGTAAAGAGTCCAAATCTCCAAAAAAGTTTTTAATATCTGTTTCTTCTAAATTGTCAAATTTCTGCGCCGTCGTCGAAATCCGGTCAAGCGAAGATTCAATCATATTCAAAATAGGCAGTTCCTCTTCTAAAATCTTTGCCGCTACTGACTTGAATAACTGTTGCTGAAAGTCATAAACCGGTGTAACGAGATTACCCAAAAGCTTCACATTTCCTGTAGGCAAGTTTTTGACCACTGTCGCAAATTCTAGTAGATCCACGATTGAAAGATTTAGTTTGTGTAAAGGTGTGACATCTTTCACCGTTTTTGGTTTTTCCAAGACAGTTTGAGCAACTCCAACAGCTTTTTTCAGTTTTTCTAAAGGTTCGTTGATGGATTGTAGGAATGTTTGTTCACTTTTTGAAACGTTTAAGTCGTCCACTTCTTGCTGAGGTGTTACAATCACAGATATGTGTTCATGCAGAACTGCCAACGGTTCAGCTATATCACTTTCAACATCAGCCACAATTTCTAAAGATGAAGTGAGAGCGCTTAACTTGGCAAGTTCGTTGTTTGTCATTTTCTTGGTAGCTGCTGTGTCTACGTTTTGAATAATAGCTTTAAGTGGTTTTTCAAGCTCTTTTAGTACAACGGTATTAGTACTTGGCTGCTTTGTTACCAATGTAGCAACATTCGCTTCCACCTTCTTAAGCGATTTGATAAGTTTGGTGACAGCTTGTTCTTTCTGTGTGGTTTCTTCCTGTTGCTTAATGAGTGCTTTCTCTGTAGCTTTTTTCACACAATTTTGTATGTCCTGAAGAGGTTCGATCAAATCTTTAATTTGTGACTCCAGATTGATACTGGCTAGTAAAACTTTAAGTGTTTCTGCTTGATGTTCCAGCACTGTAGCTTTTTCACTGTCGTAGTCATTCGCAGTTTCGATAATTTTACCCATTTCTTGAACTGTTTCAGAAGTCGTAACAATGTGATTCAAATCGTCTTGTGTTAACTTGGCTTTCTTTTCTTCTAAAATGCTACCAGAGACGAACTGGAGCTGTGTAAGAGGTCTTTGTAGCTCTGTTATCAGTATCTTTGAAGCTTTGTCTTCAGGGTGTGCTTCAACGGTGGCCAAAGTTTCTTGTAATGATTGTAAATTGTCTTGTAATGTTGTCAAAGGAATGCATGCCAACGGTTCTTCAACTTTTTCTTCCAAAAAGTTTTCTGTGTGGTTAACTAATGTTTGTAAAAGTTCGGGAAAATTTTTAAGCGGCGAATCCTTAGGACACTTCTCTAAATTACTTTTAATTTCTTCTAGAGGGACGTTAAGATTTTCTTTAACTAGTCTGCTAGCACTTACACTGTCGTCAAGATTTTGCAATAAAATATGAAGCAGAGTAACTGCTGCTTCTTCTGCTTCATTTTCGACTTTTACTATCTGCAATGGTTCCACTAATTTATTAGTAGCTACAATCATTTTACTCAAGAATTCTTGTTTTTCTGCAGTTAACTGAGATTTATCAGCACATTTCAATTTTTCTTCAACATCCTTAACCAGTTTGATCGTTTTTGCTTTAATTTCAATTTTCTCAGGAATATGTTCCATCAGATTTACAACATTCTTCGCTGTATCTTCCAAAGACTCCATCGTCTCCTTTATTTTCGATTCCTTAGGAATCACTACAACAGCAAGTCGTAATTCTTCTATAACCGCTTTAACGTTTTCGACAGTCGTTTGTTGGGCTTCTTGGGGTTGAATGAAGTTGTTCAGTTCAGTCAAAGTTTTATTCGCAGCGTCCACCACCAACTGTTCTTCTTTCGCCAAATTTGGAGCAATTTGTTTCAACTTGGTGTCGATCAAACTTTCAACAGCTTCTACCGATCGTTGCAGTTCTGTAATCGCTGCTTTTTTCTCGGTTGTAGCAGTTTCTTCTTCTATTTTAACGATGCTTCCTCGAAGAGTTTCCAGAGATTCAATCATCGGTTTTGTGATTTTTGCAACTTCTGCACATCTCTTTAGTTCGACGATTTCACCTACGTTTTGAACTGCGGTGTCTAAAACTTTGCAAACTTGTAAACACTGTATGTTTTCTGTTTTAACTGCGCTTTTTGCACTTTCTACTTTGTTTACTATGTTTTCAAATGCAGTGGGTTCATAAGTAGGTTCTTGTATCTGCGTTGTTAAATAAGTGTTAAGTTCTGCAATTAATTTCTTTTGTTCGTTCACGTACTGTATCTCTGTAGATGACAGTGGAACTGTTTCAAGCACCACAGGTTCCAACTGCTGAATATCACTTAATACTAAGTGAACTTTCTCTTCGATTCCAGGCACAGAAACATCTTGTAATGATTCAAGTTGACTTTGCATTTCTTTAAATGAAACAATAAGTTCTTTTATAGGTTTAGATGATTCTTCCACCTGTGAAGCTTTTTGTTTATCAAGCTCTAAAATGACACCTTGTCCAGTAGTTAATATAGCTTGTGTTAAAGTCTGTAAGTACGGTACGTTAACAGATGGTTCTAAAGATAGCAGATTGCTTTGTTGCGTTTTTAGTACCGCAATGTCTTTTGTTTCACATGCCGTTTTTAATTCGCTGACGTACGTTTTTATAGCATCAACATACGTAACTTCATCTTCAGTCAGATCAGCATGACAAAGTTTGTCAAACTTATTTAAATTTTCTTCTACGTTTTGCAAATTTTCTTGTACACTTTGCGGTTGTTGGCATAAAGTTTCGTCGATATGCTTCAACGGTGTTAGTAACGATTTCTTAACAATTTCGGTTTTAACTTCTGTGTTATAGGCTACTTGCAATTGTTGAGCAACGTCTGGCATATTTTCAACTATGGTGTTAAGTAGGTGCGTAATTTGTCTGATTGGTGATGTTTCTTCAATTGTATTTACAGCTTTGTTGAGAATGTTAAGTAGCACCAGAATGTCTTCCTTTCTAGGTAATTCCTGAGTCAAAGTTTCCTCTGTAACTGTAAGCTTGGAAGACACAAACAGATCCAAGTCACCCATTATTTTGGCAATATTTTCAAGGAACTTTAAGTCATTTTCGGTTAAAGCTAATTCACTTAAGAGATTTACAGCGGTTTGTAGGGGATCAAGTGATTGCTGTACCAACTGAATTTTTTCTTTATCAATGTTGGGATACTTAATAGCAGCTACATGTCTTGCAAAACCTTGAACTGAGTCTAACACCATCTGAATGTGTTGGATTTTGATATCTCTTTGAGCGTCTTCGACTTTTTTGATGTTTTGTAAAGTATTCGCTGTTTTAAAATATAGAACTGCTATAGTTTTTATTAAGTCTTTTTCACTTTTTACTCCCTTGGCAGCTTCCTTTGAGCGGACAACTTTTTCAATGGCTTTTTCACTCGTCACTTCTTCATTACTTAAATAATCGGAAATTAATTTCACAATTTCTGTTGCATCTGCGACTATTTTCTTTTCTGGTTCACTAAGATCAACATTTTGCGCATTTTCCTTTAAAACTGGTAATGTATAATGCAGTTCTTCGATCAGAACTCTTCGCTCTTTCAAAACCTGTTTCTCTTGTATGTTTATCAAACTCGTCAGATTTTCATCAAACTCTTTTGTTGTCAACTCGGGTTTTTGTTTGGAAGATTCCGTCACGTTGAAAACTGACTCTAAAATAGACGCTATTTTATTTAAACTATCGACTAAATTAGGGAAATGCGATTTTTCTAATGATTTAACTTCTAGACTGAATTTATTCACATTATTATATAAGGCTTCTGGAATGGTTAACTCTTTCTTTGATTCTAACTCTTCAGTTTGTTTGATAACTTGTTTCAAAGTTCCTATCGTAATTTTTAGTGGTTCTGATTTTGAATCATCCAAAGTGTGTAATTCTTCACTGTTTATAATAGTGGACAAATAGGTATGGATTTGTTTAATTTCGTACTGATTAGTAGAAAATTGAGGTTTACATTTTACAACAGTCAAAGATTTCTGGAGATTACCCATATCTGTAGCTATTTGATCTGGCAGAGGAAGGGCAATGTGCTTTAAGGAAGATTCAAATGCTTCTAGGAAAAATCTTAGTGATTTCAAAATATATTTCAAGCCTGGGTTTTTACTCAAAAACATTACTTTTTCCGATAATTGTGTTAAAGATTTATTCAAGTGTTCTAATGATAATGGTTTTTGATCAATGTCACCAATTCTGTCTTTAATGTTCTTTAAATCGTCTTCCAAAGAATTCAGAGGCTCTAAATCCGCAGGCGTAATATCGCCTCTAGTTTGTTCAATTGTCAATACTTCTAAAGCATCACCTACAGTTTCTTCTAAAGACGCTAAACGTTTCCTGAAGTCTTCATTTCTAACTTCTAAAATAAAATCATTAATAGCCAATAAAGGAACTCGAATAGCTGCAAACACTTTCTTTTTCTCGTCTTCAAAGTGTTGTATGTTAGTGACGCTATCACCAAGTTTGCGTAACGGTTCCGACAATTGTTTAATTTCCACTACATCTTGTTCTGTTATTGGAGACTCACTTGTCTCCATAAACAAAGGTCCACTCGTCAATTTCTCAATACACTCAATCACTTCAGAAGCTGTGTGGTACAATTCAGGCTCAATTTTTTCAACACCTTCCACAACAGTCTCCTGATAAAGTACAGCAAGACATTTTTCTAACTCGCTGACGTGTTCAGTCACCGCTTTAGCAACGGCAGCAGAAAATACAAATTCCGAACCTGGCGTTTCTTGCATGATCGGTAGCGACAAAATATTAGCTATGGATCTCTTCAGATCGCTTAAAGTGCATTTGCGCGGTTGCTGCAGTTGGTCTAGGAAAACTACTTCATCTAAAATTTGTTGATGCATTACTGCGACGTTGTACTGAATGTGTTCTAGAATCAGCCTGATTCTATCCTTTTCCTGAGAAACTCCGGGTTGCTCGTTTAGGATGTCTTGAGCATCGATTAGAGAATCTTCAATTTGCTCCAGAGGCGCAACGTAGTTTTGTAGAACTTCGCGTTCGTCTAAAGACAATTCTTCTTTCTTCTTTTCAAGCAGAGATTCACTTGTGACAGCTAGAAGATTTCGTAAGCACTCCATCAACGGAACTGCCAACTGAACTGAAATGTTTGTTAATTCATTTTGCAGACATGATATTGCCTGACGTGTGTCTTCTAGTAGTCCTGTTGGTACAACTGTATCTGAAGACTCTTCAAGTATAACAACCACACTTCCTTCTTTCGAGTCTTCAGATAAGGATTCAGGAACTGTACCGTGTTCCGTTAAACCGCAAATGTTTTCCCGAACTTCACACGTTCGTCCGCGTAAGATTGAAAACGGAATACATAAATCTATAGTTTCTAGTCTTTCTTCATCCACAATTATACTTTCTTCTAGAATATTTAACGAAGCAATTAAATCATCAAGAACGTCTCGATTAGTCGTGGGTGTTATTTCTGTTAACTGGTTGTTTAATACTTCCACGGGTTGTGCTATGCTTTCAAGAGCATTAAGAGTGGCTTCTATTTTAATCTGAGATACTTTGATGATTGTTGTGGCTAAATCTTTCTGCAACGTTGAAATTTGTCTCAAAGCTTCTAAAACGACAGTATCGGTGACGACTTTTTGCGCAGACTCTATATTAAACAGAAGATCTTCTACAGATTGTGTGATGTTACTGAGCACAATTTGGCTCACTTGATCGAACACGTCTTTAACTACTTCCTGAGAGCTTAATTCGGGTGAACTTTGTAGAAGTACAGTGCCAGGTTTGATCTTCCCTTTAAGGGTGCTAATAGAGTTTACTATTTTGTCTACAGAATCAGAAATAACATTTCGTTTCTCTTTTAATTCAGCGAATCTGTAAGCAACAGGATCTTGTTTTTTGATTTCTTCCAAGGTACTAACGAGTTCTCCTATTGGGTGCGATAATTTATCGATTAGTGCCAGTCTTATTTCTTGTTCTAAAGTCTTTTCGGCTGCATGTCGTATTGACAGTTTGCTGATGGTTGACATTTCTTTCACTATGTCCTTCGTAGGTTCGGAGACATTGTTGAGAATGTCACTAGGCCACTCATAGAATCTCCTGTCAGACTCTTCATAAAATTTACTCTTACTGAAACCGTCTTGTAGAGTTTGAGCAAAGTATTCAATATTCGATAACAAGTCTCTTTTAATTATTTCAGTAGTGGTTTCACTCTTTGAGGTTTCCTCAGAATCTTGTGAAGATTTTTGCGAAATTTCAAAGTGTTTAGTTTGTAATAGTTTATCAGAATTGTCTAGTCCACCTTGAATTTCTCTAATAGTTATACAGACTTCTTGAATTATTTTAGAAGGAGTCATTCTTCCTGAAATTTTCGTAGAATCTAACTCTTTCTCTAACAAAGTCAAGTTTTCAATTAACTTTAAACTCCTCTGGAGTTGCAATCCCGTCGTGTCTAAAATATTGGCGCAAGTTTTTTGAATCAAAGTGTGATCTTTCCCTTGCATCTCTATACATTTTTCAATGACCGATAGGTTCTTTTGTAGCTCGAATATTGGCGGCGCAATTAGTTCTACTGCCGACATATCAGCCTTCCTTTCTTCTTGAACGATGGTTTGCAACACAGTTTGCATATCCCGATATGGTTGTAAGATACTATTTAAAGTATCTAAACTCTGTTTGGCTGTAGCCGAAGTTGATTTCAATGTAGTTTGAACAAACAGTTCCTCTTCAACCGAAAGTAAACCTTGCTGAATCTCCGATATACTCAATTTTAGTTCGTCTATAAGTTGCAGTTCTTCTTTTTTCAATTCCACCTGCTTAGCAGCATTAACTTCAGGATCAATAACCAAACCATCGCCTTCTTCACCTTGAATATCTCTTTGAAAATCGTCAGGTAGATCCAAACTTTTCGTTTTCTTCGGTACTCTCTTCATTAAACCGTCTTTCGAAATTTCGTCCGAACTCTGAGACGATCGTCTTCTTCTCAATTCCTGACTTTCGCTCCTGTTAACCCTCAAGTCTGACCCTATTTCGTGTGTCGTACGTGGCGTTAGAGGTCTTCTAGAATCTATATCGTCTCCTGGTAAGCTTGTGGTTTCAGTAATCGCAGCCACTTGGAAGGCGCGATTTTGCTCTACTTTCTCGGAACTTATAGCACTCTCGTACTCACCGTATGATTCCGTGTCTAAGTCAGCAGCTACTGCTAAGCTTTCCTCACCAGCATCCGACTGCAACGACTGGTTTTTAGTTAAACTGTAGTACGAGTTGCTCTTCTGCGAATCCGATTTTCTAGGAGGTCTCTTCGGCGATTCACCACTGGAGCTAGTCACATCGATCTTGAGCTTCTCGGAAGTGACAGAAGACACAAGTTGACCCGTTTCGTCCGTGATTGAGTAAATTTCATCAACGTCGGCTTCAGTTCGGAGGTCTTGTTCCTCAGGAGTGAAGAAATTCTCAGATACGTCGACCACTACAGCTTCCATGAGCAAATTGCCGGAAGTGGATGTCTCTTTGACGAATCGCAGAGGAGGTAGTTCGACGACGTTATGTTCTGAAAGGACAAAATATTGTTTCTAGTTTTAGAGAAACGTGTGCGGACATACCAGAAACGTGTTCTGACAACTGATCTGCATACATCTCTACAATCTGTATAGCTTCCTCTTCCGTCAAATCAGGAGTTTCGTATAAAGACACGGAAACTTCTTTCCCGTCAAACGAGAAGGAAACTTCACCGCGGTCATCTATTGTCAAAGACTGATCTCCTGCAGTGTCGTAAATTTGAGAGGTACGTTCTTCGTGAATAGTAGACAATGATGGTTGTCTAGCCAGCTCTATTCTCTGTTGTGTTCTTGTTTTTGGGTCCTCAAAACCAAGAAGAGATGCTGAACTTGCCATTACACCCATACAGTTTCTTGCTTCACAAGTGTAAGTGCCAAGACAACAAGTACCGTCCTAGAAACGAAATTAGTATGTGTTTGATGTATAAAATTTGATGCTTACTTCTCCAGAGGTTATTCTATGAATGTCACCAGGCTTCAGTTCGACGCCATCTTTATACCACTTAAGAACTGGGGGCGGAACACCTATTACTTTACATTCTAAATTAACAGCACCTTCTTCTGATAAAACAGCTCGTAAACATTCCAAAAATTTGGGCTTCTTGAAGTGTTTGGGGATAATAAGTTTAAGGAAACAGGAAGTAACGGAGTGACCAAATTCGTTGGTAGCTACGCATTTCCATTCTGCCTGATCCATAAATTCTACCTTAACTATATCTAAATGTCCAACACCTAAATTTTCTTTTATTGCGAAGTAACGTTCGGGTTCGTTTTCTGACGGGTGATCATCTCGGTACCAAGACAGTGTAGGTAAAGGTGTAGTAACACTAACTACAATATATAATTTCCAATTATCTAGTTAGTTACAACAGAAAATGAATTTGTGTACCTTGAACTGTAAATCTAAACGTTTCGTTAATTTTCGCTTCGACACTCTTCAAGCCATGAATAAACTTCGGCGCTTGACTCCTCAAAATCAGTTGAGCCCGTTCTTCATCATTCAGTTGACTTTGAATATCTTCAACTGTTAATTCAGCCGAACTTCTTGCTTCTCCCATACAGTTTTTAGCAATGCAACAGTACGACCCTAGTGAGTTCGTTCCTGTTAATTGATAAACGTCTCCCGGTTTTAGTTCTTGTCCATCTTTGAACCATCGTAATAGCGGAGTGGGGGAACCTACTACTTTACATTCAAAAGAAACTAACCCTTCATCAGTAAGTACGGCCTTAAGAGTATCCATAAATCGAGGTTTTCGAAAATGTTTCGGTACTACGAAATACGGGTGAGTATCACAAAACGAATAGCCAAAATTGACTTACTAGTCATTTGGACGTTACACGTAGAAATAGAAACAGAACCATCTTGGCTTGTGGCTACACATTTCCACTCGCCTTGGTCTGCTGCTTCTGTAGGTTTGACTTCGAGCATGTACCCTCCTAAACCATCTGCCATCTGTCGATACCTGCTACCTGCAACTTCGTCGTTGATGCGACCTTCGGAGTTATACCACGCCACAGATTTGGGCCAGGGAGGTACGGACACTACAAACGACCTCTAAGAAATAGCTCACCAAAGGTAAACCTTACCTTGACAGGACAATAACAAAGGATCACCAATTTTAATTGCTTCGTTTTGTAAATCGCGAATGAATACCGGTGGAGGTCCAGGTGGCAGTGAACTAATAAAAAATTATTAACATGGTCTACAAAAGATTTCAATGGGTTACCTGTCTGCTGGTTTAAGGGACCCTTCACGACTTCCCTTTCCAACAACGTGCACCTTGGAACTGGACACAGCTTTGCCCATGCAATTGACTGCTTCACACATGTACGTTCCCAAAGAAGTTGGGTCGTCGGGGTTTGCAGTGAGGGCAAAAACGTCTCCAGCCTTGATCTCCTTTCCATCCTTGAACCAGCGAAGTAAGGGAGTTGGTACTCCCACCACCTTACATTCCAGCGATACGGTTCCTTGTTCCGTCAGAAGAGCGCGAAGTTCTTCCAGGAACTCAGGAGGTTTGTAAGTTTTCGGTACTGGAATGTGTCGTATTGTTACATGAGACGACCTTCATGGTACAAACAATGCAATATGTTTGGAACAGGCTGAGATTGTGAAACGCTCGGGAAATTGTTGGCTAAAACATAGCATTCCGTTAAAGAAATGAGCGAAATCAATACAAGGAAAGTGGTTAAATGGACGACAACTGACAATCTTCTTTGTGTTTACTAATTATGATTGTCTTAAATCGCTTGGAAAATGGTGAGGTGGATTCCGTATAGTTATACTGATTTGTCAAAGGCGTTTAACCAGGTAAATATAAAAAGATTGATCTTGAAATCAAATTATATGGGTATTGGTAGTCCCCTTTTAGAGTCTTGGCTGACTGGTAGAAAACAATTTGTAAAAATAAATGCAATTAAATCCAACGGACGTTTCATTAAATGTTCCTCAAGATTCCCATCAAGGCCCAATATTGTTCTTTTTTTAATTATGTAAAAATGCACTGATCAAAAACAAACTTTCAAAAATCCATGACTGTCTTGTTGAATCTTCTACTTGTCTTTAAATGTTTTATTTACATGTTCCAATTTTTGATGTAGTTTTTTTTATTTGTAGTATATCATTGTTTTGTAATTGGTGGTCATGGATCGTCCGTGTTTTTTACTGCTACCTCGTGATATATTATTATTGTAATATTGTAATACAGGAACTGTAGAATTCGGTAAAGAACTCATTTCTGGAGTCAGAGAATCAAAATGGGCTGAGAAAAGAAGTTTAAGAAGTTTTAAAATTAGAAAATACACCAACTGGCATTTCAACCTCATGGACAAAGTATATCTCAAGAAAGAAGACAATTAATAATGTTCCGAGTGAGTTCTAGGGAAAGAGCAAGAAAAAACACGTTCAAAGACAGAAACGAATTTTTGAAAGTTTTGTCTTTGACTGTTGCATTTTTAACTCAAACTATTAAATTGACAGTGATCTGACTTGACGAAAATTCTATCAAAGACAAATCTTTGCAATTCATGATCCTGTTTTTTATTACTGCCTCAGTATATATTGTTATTGTAATAGTATAATAGAGGAACTATGGAATTCCGTAAAGAACTCATCACTGGACCCATAAAGTCAAAATGGGCTCAGAAAAGAACAGATTCTAGAAGTTTTAAAGTTGAAAAATACACCAACTAGCATTTCAAACTCCTTGACAAGGTATACCTCAAGAAAGAAGACAGTTAATAATGTTTCGAGTAGGTTCTACCGAAAGAGCAATGAATAACAAGATCAAAGACAGCCCTGAATTTTTTAAAGTTTTGTCCTTGATTGTTGCATTTTTAACTCAAACTATCAGTCTGACAGTAATCTGACTTGACGAAAATTCTATCAAAGACAAATCTTGTGGTGACCAGATTTGAATTAAAATTTCGCGCTGAAAAAAAAAGAGACGCGAAATCGTATTTAAATAATTTGAATTTGAAAAAACATTTAATTAAGAAAATTGTTAAACATAAGCAACCAGGTGCAAGTTTAGTTCTTTTCTGGTAGTTGGTACCTCTCCTAGGGAATTTCTGTTCAGAGGGTTGGGAGAAGTTGATTTGGTTGCTAAAGGGGTGAGAGGCGTCACTTTTGGTTGGTTTGGTGTGAGTGAAACCACGTGGTGAGTTAGCTGGGTTAAGTTTTGTTGGTTTGGTAGTTAATGAAAATGTTTAACGAAAATTAATTGTAACGACGACGAGGCCAATTTTCTCCAACACGCGTAGCTAATTCTTGCGGTTTTTCCAAGCGGAAATATGCGAATTTTCAACCGACGCTAACACGTAGTGTAAATTTGTTTTATTGTTTGTAAATTCACAGTTCATGTTAGGTTTTTAATCGTTAACTGATTTGAACACAATTAAACGGTCATGGAGTTTGTTTAGATAAAGTAATTGCTAGGAGATTTCATAAGATTCACTTAGTCAGGACTCATCCTTTGTTTATCAAATTATGAATAAGCTTTCTGGATGCTTATACGTAAGTGTTACATTATAACACTTCTTAATTCCTCACACAGGATTGCTAATTGTTCATTTACGGCAGTTAAATTAACCTAACATTGGCCCACTTTGGGAAAAGGACCGTGCAAAGTGCGGTAGAATTCATAATATCGTGCACTGATTGGATAATGGCATAAATTAGCATCATGTAAATTCTTCGTTTGAATCGTTGATAAAGTGTGGCATAATTTAAGATCAGGTAAATTCTTTGTTTGAATCGTTGATAAAGTGTGGCATAATTTAACATCATGTAAATTCTTTGTTTGAATCGTTGATTAAGTGTGGCAAATATTGTAATCATCTAATTGCGTTAGCTTTGCAATTTTTCACCTCACACAATTTTTCTCTATCTCACAATTTTAGATTCAGTAATTTTCTTTGCTGTATAATTTAAACTGAACGTAAATTTTCATGTTCTGCAGTTCCTAACCTCACGTAATATTTTTGTCTGCACAAGTTTTATTTCACACCAGATCTTTTTTGTTTTTATAAATCTTTGCTAGTTTTTTTTTACCATGTGAATATTCTGTTGATTAATGGGTCTATCATATAAATTGTTTGATGTCCAATCTTAATCTCAGATAAGAATTATTTGCTGTTTAAAAACTTCACGAAGGTGAAGGCGAATTTAAATGTTGTTTATTGCTCTTTTGAAACTTTAACACTTGTTCAGTTGTCGTTTAACATTAGAGTTAAGTATAGAAATTGAACATTGAAATGGAATTGAGGTAAATAACACAATAACACATGGCGGAACTGAAGTGCGCGGTTCCTTGTCGAGCTGGTGGTCGCGCCTTCTGCACAAAAGGATGCAGGCCTAGGGTAGTCAGGGGAACGGTCGGGATGACGTGACGCTCGCGGCTTGGCCCAATAGCCTGTTTCTACGCGGCAAGTTACTTGGTCATAGAGGGGTGCTGGGTGGCATGTGCTTGCCGATAGGATAGAATAGAATCACCGTCGTGGGGGGGAGAACGGTCACAACCAGGAGCCCCAAACTCCGCTCATGCTACAACACTGTGGGTATTTTTGCTGGGTTCTAGAATGAAATTGATATAGTTCGATCGCCACACTCTCATGGCGCTCTGCCGCCGCATAGAGTTAGTTTTATTAAAATTTTGTTCTCTTGTTAACTGCCATAATTTAAATTTGCCGCTACACGTCCGTAATAACTTGTGTATTTGCATCCGGTCACTTTAATCCAGATTTTCTTTGTTTTTGTTAAATTTGTGATATTCGAATATTTGCATTGATTTAGAACGTTTAATTTGATTTCATTTAAAGTTAGGCAAGTTTTTGTTTCTTCAACCGCCACAACTTAGAGCAGCTTTTTTTTTCTTTTTTTTTTGTCAGTGGGAAAATAAATAATTTTGTGTTCTCCATATTTCTTGTGTTTTATTTAGCGGTACTTTTTCAACCTTGGGGTCCACCACTTGCTTCTGAACGCATTCCGCCACAAAAAAAACAAATACAATGTAGGGTTCCATTTTGAATTTTTTAATTTTTCGCGGGCTTTCAATTTTTTTTCACATGGCAATTTAAGGCGGGATGTTCGGTTTATCACAATCTTTACAAATTCATGATCCTGTTTTTTATTGCTCTCTCATTATATATTGTTAATAAAGGAACTGTGGAATTCGGTAAAGAACTCATAATTGGACTCAGAGACTCAAAATAGGCTCAGAAAACAAGAGATTATAGAAGTTTAAAATTTGGAAAATACACCAACTAGCATTTCAGTCTCATTGAAAAACTATAGCTCAAGAAAGAAGACAGTTAATAATGTTTCAAGTAGGTTCTACCAAAAGAGAAATAAAAAACACGATCAAAGACATTTACAACCTATTATGCTAACTAAAGTAATAGTGATAATACATCTTTGTAAATACAAATTGTAGGTGGTTTACCGAGTACGTTGAGATGGCAGGTGCTAGACGCTTGTCCAAACTCGTTTCGAGCAGTACAGGTCCATCTTCCGGCATCATTGGCTGTTACCGGGGCGACATCGATGCAATGAAAACCACCTTCGTTAACGAATCTGAGTCGTTCTCCTTCCTCCACTTTTTCTTCGTTGTGGAGCCATTCGATCTATAAAAAGAATTTCCTTTCTGCATTTTTATTTTCGAATAATTCATTCACAATGAAGTGTCATACGGAACCAGACAGATCTAATTTAGAACTAAGTGCGTCATCATTAAAAATAATAGTAGGTTTAGTTCCACTGACACAAAAAATTATACAAGCAAGTGAAATTTTTAGGTTGCGTGCCATGGAATGCTGAAGCCGAAAGAGATGTATGAGGTCAGATTTTATATAAAGAATGGAGCAGACTACAGCCTCCAGTTTAGATAAACATGCACTAATGCATCTTTTAATGCATGTTTGCTATAAATATTTAAAAATATTAATTACCTAACTTTACCCACGCCTTTGTAATACCAAATATCCTCATGTTGTTGAAAGCGTGCCAATATTTTGTCGAAATTATTTTTGAAACATGTTTATGGTCGCTTCATTCAAAATGCGTTTTCACGGGAAGCGTACGACTTACCGTCAGTTCGGAACAGCTTCTTATTTCGACTAGAAACCTAGTCCTTGTTCCAACTTTTACGGAGAGGTCGTTGAGGCGTCGAAGGAACGCCGGAGGTTCGTTCTCGTCGGGGCTGTTGCCGCTGTTCACCCTCAGTTCCAAGTCTCTAGATGCTGCTCCCTGAGGCGACTTGGCCATGACTGTGTACATGCCAGCATCACTTTTTTGAACATCGTCTAAGGTCAGCTGGACGATGTTTGCGGTAATTTTGAGCCTTCGGCGGGGTTCGGGGGCGATTGGAGCTCCATCTTTAGACCTGGAACGTTTCATCGATTTATTTAGTTGCTTAGAATTCTAAATATTCAGAAATATGAGGAAACAATAAAGCTAAGTCTCTCTTGTTGATGTGTGTAGGTATATTACATCATGGGCTATTATTGGTGAGCACTTTCTTCCGGTGCTACATGTTAAGATGTTTGAAAGGAAAATATGGGTTTAATATTAGACGTTGATCTCTCTGAAGATATGTTATGTAAGTTATGTGAGTTATGTAGATGAGATAAAAACTATTTAAATCCTTCGAATTACAGAATCTGTGTTATAAATAATTTTAAATTAACAGCTGCCTTTAACCTGGACCACGAATCCATCATCATTCAATAATTTCAAGGAAAGGACATTATGTATGTCAAATTTCATCTGCTTCATTAAACTGTTATGAAAAATTGCCCATTAATGTTACACATTTTTTTAAATTTTTAGCTTTTAGAAAAAGTTGACAGAAATAATTTTATCAATGTAAACAATACTTAAGCACAGTCTGACAATCTGGTGATTTTGATTCTTCAGCGTTTTGTAAGCATAAGATATTTCGTAAATGAGAAAAGATTTCTTAGATACATTTTGTGTTCACACACGATATATTCTCAAAAAATTGTTTTTTCATAATTTTTACTTCCCGAGCGTAAGCAAAGGAAGTATTGTAATCGAGTCCGTCGGCCGACTCTCTACTTTTACGTTTTCTCGATCTTTCATGACCCCTAGAAGACGAAGAAATAGGTCTCCCATTTCCGTCTGTCTGTCCGTCTGTCCGTCCGTCTGTCCATCCGTCTGTCCGTCCGTCTGTCCGTCTGTTGTCCAGGATTTTTATTAGACAGATAATCTCCGAAAGTACTCGACCGATTGTTGTGAAATTTTGTACTTATATTAAGAATATCATGTAGATGGTAAAACGCTAACCAAAATTTGTCTAATCATCCCCACCACTAATGCGATGACGTCACTTCAAAATTGTACATAGTAAATGGGTTTTCAATTGTATAAAATAACATAGTCCTACACATGTAGTTTACAACTCTGAATCGACTTTTCACCCGAAACGTCCAGATTTTTGGAAAAAAAATCAAAATTATAAAACAACATTTTGAAATTTAATTTTTAATCTGCTAACCAGAATGCTTTGAAATGTTGCAGATGTTTTAAGGCTATAAAGAGCATCATAAATCTTTAGTCAAAAAATATTTGCTTATCCCCTCCAAAAACTTGATGACGTCAGCTCAAAAGTTTGTGGAATAAATCATATCTAAAATGTACAAAATATGATGAGTCTGTACTTGTGATCTATCACTCCATTCATATTTTTTGGATTTGCATATACAGGGTGACTCAAAAAAATTAATGAATACGTAAATATATTTTATTGATTTAATCAGGAACTACAAAACCGAATGCTCTGAAATCTTGCAGATGTTTTAAGGTCATAAAGAGCATAATAAATGTTTAGTCAAAATATATTTGCTTATCCCCTCCAAAAACTTGATGACGTCAGCTCGAAAGTTTGCCGAATAAATCATATCTAAAATGTACAAAATATGATGAGCCTGTACTTGTCATTTATCACTCCATTCATATTTTTTGGATTTGCATATACAGAGTGACTCAAAAAAATTAATGAATGCGTAAATATATTTTATTGATTTAATCAGGAACTACACAACGGAATGCTCTGACATCTTGCAGATGTTTTAAGGTTATAAAGAGCATAATAAATGTTTAGTCAAAATATATTTGCTTATCCCCTCCAAAAACTTGATGACGTCAGCTCGAAAATTTGCCGAATAAATCATATCTAAAATGTACAAAATATGATCAGTCTGTACTTGTGATCTATCACTCCATTCATATTTTTTGGATTTGCATATACAAGGTGATTCAAGAAAATAAATGAAAGCGTATTTATTTTACTGATTTACTCAAGAACTACAAAACCGAATGCTTCGAAATCTTGAAGATATTTTTAAATTATCATAAGCATGGTAAATTTTTGATCAAAACGTATTTGGTCGTCCCCCCTAAAAAATTTATGATGTCACCACAAAATTTTGCTGAAAAAATCCTATCTAAAATGTACAAAATATGGTGAGTCTCTTCTTGTGATTTATCATTCCATTCAAATTTTTCCGATTTGCATTTACAGGGTGACTCAAAAAAATTAATGAATGCGTAAATTTATTTTATTGATTTAATCAGGAACTACAAAACCGAATGCTTTGAAATCTTGCAGATGTTTTAAGGTTATAAAAAGCATAATAAATTTTTAGTCAAAATATATTTGGTTATCTTCTACAAAAAACTGATGACGTCAGCTCAAAAGTTTGCCGAATAAATCGTATCTAAAATGTACAAAATATGATGAGTCTGTACTTGTGATTTATCATTCCAATCATATTTTTGGATTTGCATATGCAGGGTGACTCAAAAAAATTTATGAAGGCGTGAATTTATTTTATCGATTTAATCAGGAATTAGAAAACCGAATGCTTTGAAATCTTGGGAATATTTTAAAGTTATTATAAGCATGGTAAACTTTTGTTCAAAATGTATTTGTTCATCCCTCCTAAAAAAATTGATGACGTCACCCTTAAATTTTGCTGAATAAATCCTATCTAAAATGCAAAAAATATGATGAGTTTGTACTTGTGATTTATCATTCCATTCATATTTTTTAGATTTTCTTAAGAGGTGGTTCAAAAAAATTAATGAAGTCAATTTATTTTATTGATTAAATTAAAGGCAACACTTATTATTAGTATTACACCCCAACCAACCCAATTTGGTAGACACAAAATTTGTTAAAGGAAAAACTCGGTTGAAACATAAGTGTAGCACGCTTATTTACATCGACTTTAACATTACAGGCCTGCATTTGTTTTATGCGCTCACTTGGTTCCGCGAATGTGAAATAGACATGTTTATAATCAACCAATTGTGAATTTCACCGTCAAGAATTAAAATAAAACCCAATGTTTTATATAACAAGCGGAAGTCGAAGCAATAAAACCGATGGTTGTTTTGTTTACAGTTTCTCTGTTTGACTCTCACGTATGCTGTTACGCCTGTCATCTTAAATTAAGAATGTTTATACATACACGATTTTCAGTTGCCTCTGATATGTATACGTCAGTAAATTGTTTCGTTATTTTATTGATTATTAAAAATCAATATTCAAAACGACCCAATTCATTTTCCCGAAAATTTGAGAATATAATAATTTTATTCTTAGTATTACACTACATCTATCCCAACTTATATACGTGTCCTTGCAAAAATGTTGATGACGTCATCGCAATTTTTTTTTAAATTCCCACTACAAAAATGTAATGAGAAAAAAAACACAATAGGCATGCAGTCGTCAAGTTTCCGACAGCGAGGGAAGTACTGTCTAAACTCTTTAGACCAATTTTTAACTTTGTGATGGCACTACGGTTATGAACAAGAAGCTTTTCCATTCTGTTCTCAACAAACTGAGATCCACATTTTACTTGTTAAATCAAGGAGAGTAAACTTAACGATCATTAAATAAAAATACGCAGTCAATTAATTACAAAATAAGCTGATATTGTAAATATTTATTTTTTATTTACTCCAAGTTAAAAATCGATTTCTTTAGAGAATAATCCTTAAACACTATTAACTTCAACGTATCAATAAAATATTATCTGTATGCTTTTTTCATTTTAGTGAAAAATATTAAACAGCAACTTTTCAAACTCTCTAAATAACCTCATAATTCACCAGTGTTTATACTTTAATTAAGCTTCAAATTAACATCACTTTGAAATTGTAAACACAACTTCTCCACCGTTTTTATTTCCCGGGCGTAAGCTAAGGAAGCATTTTAGGGCCCATCGAGCGACTGGTTACTTTCATGTTCTCTCGACGTTTCATACTCCCTAGAGTACGAAAAACTGGGTCTTCCGTTTCCGTCTACCTGTCGACTGTCGTCTGCAGCAAATTTTATTAGGCAGATAATCTCCGAAACTGCTGGAACGATTGTTGTTACATTTTGTATTATACATTAGGAATATCATGTAGATAGTAAGTTTTCTAATCACCGGTACCAACAATTTTATGACGCCGGCTCAACATTTTACGCAGTAAAAAATATTCAAATTTTGTAAAATAATGTAGTCCTATAGTTGTAGTTTATGACTCCACCATTTTTGTTCATTATTATTATTGTTTAATTTTTCCTCTACTTTAGATACAAATACGAAGTTCGTAATTTTTGTAATGATCAAGTCAAGAACGGTTCACCGCACTTTATGGAAAATATAAGAATTCAGTAATGTCGCGCCCACCTATGTGGTAGTAATAAAATAATAATTATCATAATAAGAGCTGTTCACCCAAAATAATATTTGGACCGCTAACGGTGGTTATCTGTATGTGACTAACATTCGAATTTTTTCGAATCGTAAATATAAGCAGCTAAAGTTAAGCATGTACTGAGAATATGCATTTAGCGCATTTATTGTTGCTTTAAAGCGAAACACAAGTACACAAATACGTAACTAACACAAATATGTTGTATTTACCCACTTTTTGTAGGTAAATAGACAGTTTTGATTTTAATAAGTGTTTTTAATGGAAGAAAATGTTTGTGTGATGCATTATATAATTAATGGATTATTTACTTGCAGTAGACTTAATGATAACAACGTTCCTAATAAAATTTGAAACTTTCTCTGTTTCTATCGATATACCTTAAACAATGTACAATTTTACAGTAAACATTATTAATAACACTGGTCAACAAAAGATTGTTTTCTTTCATAGTGATACTATATTTCAGTATTTTTACTACCCGAGCGTAAGCTAAGGAAGTATAGTAATTGAATCCATCGGCCGAATTGCCACTTTCATATTTTCTCGACGTGTCATGACCTCTAGAGTACTAAAAAAGTGGTCCTCCGTTTCCGTCTGTCTGTCTGTCTGGTGTCTGCATCCATTTTTATTAGACAAGTAATCTCCGAA